GCAGATCAAGGCCCAAGTGCTTGGACCCTGGCCACCCATGTTGGAGTGGAAGGAGTTCTGGATACCTGGTTTTGGCCTGGACCAGCCCCAGCCATTGCAGCCATTTGGGAAATGAGCCAGCAGATGAAGGACTCCCCCCTCCCCAGCATTGTCATTCTGTCTTTCATATAAGTAAAATCAATCTTTTAAAAATAAAAAATCCGTGCTGGCGCCATAGCACAGTAGGTTAATCTTCTGCCTGAGGTGCCGTCATCTCATATGGGCCCCAGTTCTGGTCCCAGCTGCTCTTCTTCCAATCCAGCTCTCTGCTATGACCTGGGAAAGCAGTGGAGAATGGCACAAGTCTTTGGGCTCCTGCAACCACATGGGAGACCAGGAGGAGGCACCTGGCTCCTGGCTTCAGATCGGCATAGCTCTGGCCGTTGTGGCCATTTGGGGAGTGAACCAATGGAGGGAAGGCCTCTCTCTCTGTCTCTCTCACTCTCTGTAACTCTACCTCTCAAATAAATAAATTTTAAAAACTAAAAAATAAATAAAATTAAATTTAAAAATCAGCATCAATAGTATATTGCGGGGCCGGCGCTGTGGCATAGTGGGTGAGGCCACTGCCCACAGTGCCAGCATCCCATGTGGGCGCCGGTTCGAGGCCTGGCTGCTCCACTTCGAATCCAGCTTTCTGCTGTGGCCTGGGAAGGCAGTGGAGGATGGCTCAAGTCTCTGGGCCGCTTTACCCATGTGGAAAACCCAGAGGTGAAGACCAGAGGTGGCTCCTGGCTCCTGGCTTCAGATCAGCACAGCTCCGGCTGTTGCGGCCATCTAGGGAGTGATCCAGTGGATGGAAGACCTATCTGTGTGTGTGTGTTTGCCCCTCTGTAACTCTGCCTTTCAAATAAATAAGTAAATCTTTAAAAAAAATAGTATATTGCATACATGTTTCTGCATCTTGCTCTTTTACTTAGCTTTGTGTTTTTAAAGCATTGTATTAATGCTTATACTTCTAATTCATTCATTTTTTGTCTTTCATCATGAGTAAGTAATAATTCATTTACCAGTTTTCCTGATGATAACCATTTGGGCTGTTGACTGAAATGTACTTCTGTGTGCACGTCTTTCTGTGTGCATGTGACCATATTTGAGAATTTCTTAGTAAAATTGCTATAGGGTAGGCACGTCTTAACTTTACCAGGAATAACTAAATTGTTTTCAGGGTAGTTGTTTCAGCTTACATGCCTGTCAACGTTGTGTGTGAGTTCTTGTTCATCAGTGTCCTGGCCAACACTTGGCGTTATCTGACTGAATTTTTGCTGTCTGGTGTGCGTGGAGTAGCATCTCATTGGACTTAATGTGCACTTTCCAGACTGCTTAGTGAAGTTCAGGTCTGTCTTAATTTTTCTTTCACAGCACACTGTGTGTGTGTGTGTGTGTGTGTGTGTGTGTATCTCCAGCTGAACATCATCTCTGTAGAAGCAGGGATCACATCTCTCTGGTTTACTGTTTCCTCCCCAAAGCTCAATACGAGGTCTGGAGTATAGATAGAAGTTAATAGATGAACCAGTGGTCAGGGTCCTGTAAGTCTGACATTACTAAAAGAGAAATGCTCATACAATTATAGGGATTTATTTCCTTATATTCCTCTTATCTTAACTCTATAATTTATTTAATGACCAGCTCCTAAAACCCAACTCTATACTTGCTTCATTACTTTTTTTTATTTTTGTTTATTTTTTTGAGAAGCAGAGACGGAGATCTCTGCTTCACTCCTTAAATTTCCAGGGCTGAGCTAGGGCTAAAGGTGGGTGGTGGTGAGGTAACTGAAGGGAGGGCCTATAAAACAGATGACAGTGGACTAAAGCAGAGGAGTTGGCAGCATCTCCCTCCCTGCAGTCTCCTGGCCATTGGGTCCCCTCCACAATCCAGGTCTCCCGTGTGGGCAGCAGGAACCCAGCCACCTGAGCCATCACTGCTGCTTGGGGTACTGCGCTGAAGCCAGGAATTGAACCCAGGCACTCTGAGTGGGGTGTCAGTGCCTTCACCACTAGACTAGATGCTGCCTCGTCTTCCATTTCTTATTTCCTTCTTTCAGTCCTTTGAATTAGCTTGAATGAGTAAGGGGTAACAGCAGTAGAGAACTGAGTCACAGATAGTTTTATTTGATAGAGATACCTCTCTGTACCAGCCTGGGACCTGTGATTTGAGATCTGCTGGTGTCCAATTAGCCTAACAGCAGAGCAGCCAAAGCTCCAGAGAGGTTCATTATTAGATAGGAAGTTAAGTTAGAGGCCCTTTGCCTCGGTTGGGATTCTTACTGACAGAGTTAATCTTGTCTAACTTAATAGAAGACTTTGAGACAGGGGTGGAGTTTGTCAGCAGGAATTCACTAGAGTAGGCATGATAATTTCTTACTTTTGAGAATATCAAAGTTGAAGAAAACCAGAATACATTTCAGTTAACTTTTCTATAGGCCTTTTATTTTCTGCCCAATCATTCTCTGCCTCAGCCACTCAGCAACTCTGACTTTATTCAGTTCCTGAGCTCTGCTCTGAGTACAGCATATTTTTCCCTGCCTAGTTTTGGGGTATAAGGGAACAAATCTGCCTAGTACAGCTTAAACCAGAGGCAGTCAGGGGTGTTTTAGAAGTTAAAAACATACATAGCCAGAACCAGAAATTATTGTAGTAGAAATGCCTGCTAAAAGATCCCAAGTTTACTTCTCTCTTTAAGAGAAGAATCGCGGGGCCGGCGTGGTATAGTGGGTTAAGCCATGCCTGCGATGCCAGCATCCCATGTGGGTGCCGTTTCAAAACCCGGCTGCCCCACTTCTGATCCAGCTCCCTGCTAATGTGCCTGGGAAAGCAGTGGAAGATGTTCCAACTCCTTGGGCCCCTGCACCCACCTGGGAGACCCGGATGTAGCTCCTGGCTCCTGGCTCCTGGCTCCTGGCTCCTGGTTCCTGGCTTTGGCCTGGCCCAGCCCTGGCTGTTGTGGTCATTTGAGGAGTGAACCAACAGATGGAAGATTTTTTTTCTCTCTCTCTCTGCTTCTAAGAGTGACTTTGAAATAAAATAAATAAACTTTAAAAAAAGAGAGAGAGCCAGGTCTGTTATAGAATTTGATTATTCCAATTATAAATTCCTAGGGAAGGACGCTGGCCCAGCAGGGCCCGATGCCTGCCTGACTCCAGCTGTGGCGACAGGGTGATGTTCTGCAAACTGCAGTTGAGGGCCAGTCCTGTGCCATGAGGATGACGCAGAGGGCCAGCTCCCAGGAGAGGGGAGAGACCCTAGACAGATGCACTCCTAGGGGCTTACTGAAGTCATCAGTAGCTGAATTCACAAGGTTTGAAGTCTCTCTCTCTTTAAAGTTTCTATTTATTTTATTTTAGTTGAAAGGCAGAGATACAGATACAGGCAAAGCAAGATCTTCCATTGGCTAGGTCACTCCCCAAATGCCTAAACAACCAGGGCTGGGCCAGGTCAAATCCAGGAGCTGGGAACCCAGTCCAGGCTTCCCCCATAGGGTAGCAGAGACACAAGGATTGAGCCTTTACCTCCTACCTTCCACGGTGTATATCAGCAGAAAGCTGGAATCAGAAGTGGGTCTAGGACTCAAACCCAGCTGTCTCAAGCTGTGTCTTAACTGCTGTGCCAAATGCCTGCCCCCAGAACCTCTTTTTTACCTAGTAATTACTTGGTATCTTCTGTTTCCTTAATTTTTTTTTAAGATTTATTTATTTATTTGAAAGGCAGAGAGTTACAGAGAGGCAGAGGCAGACAGAGAGAGAGAGAGATGGAAGTCTTCCATCTGCTGATTCACTCCCCAAATGCCTGCAGTGGCAAGATCTGGGCCGATCTGAATCCAGGAGTCAGGAGCTTATTCCGGTCTCCCACACGGGTGCAGGGGCCCAAAGACTTGCACCATCTTTTACTGCTTTCCCAGGCCATAGCAGAGAGCTGGATGGGAAGTGGAGCACCCGGGACTTGAACAGGCGCCTATATGGTATGCTGGCACTAGAGGTGGCGGCTTTACCCACTACACCACAATGCTGGTCCCTCAATTTTACTTCCCTCAAATCTTACCTGGCTCCTTACCCAACTTCCTGATCTTTTCATAGCCAGTTATAAATGTATTATCAATGGATCTCTGACTTCCTTGACTTTTAAGATTTATTTATTTATTTGGAAGCCAGAGTTTTGAGAGAGGGAGAGACAGAGAGAGAGGTCTTCCATTTGTTAGCTCATTCCTCAAATGTGCAGTGGCTGGAACTGGGCCAGGGCCAAATTCAGGACCTTCATCTGGGTCTCCCATGTGGGTGGCTTCTTTCTGCTGCTTTCCCAGGCATATTAGCTGGGCGCTAGATTGGAAATGGAGCAGCTGGAACTTGAATTGGCACCCATAAGGGATGCCAGTGTCACAGGAGGCAGCTTAACCTACTATACCATGATGCTGGCCCCATTTTTTTTTTTTATCATTTATTTATTTATTTGAAAAGCAGAGTTTCAGAGGGAAGAAGAGAGAGAGAGATCTTCCATCCATCTACTGGTTCACTCCCCAGATGCCTGTCCAGGTCAAGGCCAGAAGCCAGGAACTCCATCTGGGTCTCCCACATGGGTGGCAGGGACTCAAGTAGTTGGTCCATCATTCGCTTTCTTCCAAGCACATTCGCAGGAAACTGGATTGGAAGCAGAGTAGCCAGAACTCTAATTGGCACTCTAAATTGAGATACAGGTATCCCAAGCAGCAGTTTAACCTACTGAGCCACAATGCCTTAAGTAAACTTTAGGGATGACAAGATGTGTTTTTCCTCTCATTTATTTATTTGTTTAGAAGGCGTAGAAAGTGGGAATGTTATGTGTAATGTAGCATCTCTCTGGTATGCCTGTAGTTCATTAATGTGTCTTGCCCTGAATATGGGAAGTGGTAGTAAAGCAGGGGTTGTGCCACTGTGGCAGCCTGAGACCTTGTTTGTCCCTCTGCTGAGACCTCATGTTTTCTCGTTACAGGAACATGACATAGAAACAACTCATGGTATGGTCCATGTCACTATCAGAGGCTTGCCAAAGGGAAACAGACCAGTTATACTGACCTACCATGATATTGGCCTCAACCGTATGTATTTAACTGATTTTACGTCTTTTTCATTGTGATCTTTGCATGTATTTTGAAGAAACACAAAAAATAGTATTTTACTAGAGCAGAGGTTTTCCCGTCTCTGCCTTAATCTTCCCTCTTTGATGAAGCATTTGTTCATGGTATGGTTAAAATCCCTGAGGAGTGTGCCGGGGAGTGTGTTTTGGGGGATCCTGGAGTTATAGTTTACCTTCTTGTCACATCTGCTCAAGCACTGAAGATTTTACAGATTAAGAAAGTACAGTTGAACTCGGGTTTCCTCAAGTCAGGTCTGTATTCTGGTGTTTTCATGCTTCAGGTTATAATGGAAATTCAGAGTTTGAACTTCACGTTGTTATTAGCTCTTCAGTGAATTAGTGAAAGTATTCTTACAATAGCTATCATCAGTGACCTTAAGAGGGCTTCTCTAGATGGTACAGATTGTGCGCTCCTGATTGTGCGCTCCTAATACTAAAATCCAAAATCCAAAAGTAGGGGCTGACATGACGCCAAAGGTGGAAAATTCCACACCATCCTTTTGTTTTCTTTCTTTAATTTGAGAGGGAGAGTGAGCAACTGAGAGAGCACCTGTCCACTGGTTTGCTCCCCAAATGCCCACGACAGCCAGGACTGGACCAGAAAAAAGGTGGAAAACTGGAACTCAGTCAACGTGTCCCATGTAGATGGCAGGGACACAACTACTTGAGCCATCCTTGCTACCTCTCAGGGTGCACATTAGCAGGAAGCTGGAATTAGGAGTGCAGCTGGGACACGAACCTGTGATACGGGGTGCCAGTGTCCCAAGCAGCGTCTTCACCATGTGCCAAATACCCACTCTGCATTATCTTATAATTCTATTTTTCCATGAACTTCTTGAAACCTCCTTGTTTATGAAACATAATGAATATCATGTTTAGACTTTAGTTACATCTGTAAGGTATCTCATGAATTTGCAAATATTCAAAAATCCAAAAAATTCCAAAATCTGAGACATTTCTCATCCCAGCATCTTGGGTAAAGTGTTCTCAACCTGTAGTATAAAATCCTGGCTCCAGCCACCGGCACGTGGACTCTGTGTATATGTATTTTCATTTACGTGGTTCTGCATTTCAGAGGTGGCCTGGGTCTGAGTCTACAGTGCTAGAGCTTTTGTAGCCGCTTCAGTAGGAGGAGTGATTTAAGCAGTTACACCAAGAGGGTAGGTGAAGCTGTAGCCCCTCCCTGTCCCCTAGCCATTTTGCCAAGAGGCAGACTCCCATGTGGTCATGGAAGCAGCTCAACACACTCCCTCTCGCCAGGCACTTAGGGTTCAGTCAGGGTCTGTGTCAGACAGAAGAGTAAGATGCATGAGAAAATAGAGCATTATGGGTACAAGCTGATTTTGTGCAACACCAAGAAGCCAATAAACATCAGCAGGGTGGTTTCCACTTTAGATATTGTGCAGAATTGAGAATGAGTTGTTTTCAAGTCGTTAGGATGTTTCATTCAGCCTTTAGGGCAACTTGAGTCAGTGGGATTGTTCAGATGCCTCACTCAGTGGAGTGGCGATTAAATGGGGCATCAGGAAGAGGGAACGGGAGAAGGGAGTGCCTGTGACTCATGGGTGCTTTTGCTCTTGTAGATAAGTCCTGTTTCAATGCATTCTTCAACTTTGAGGATATGCAAGAGATCACCCAGCACTTTGCTGTCTGTCACGTGGATGCCCCAGGCCAACAGGAAGGTGCACCCTCTTTCCCAACAGGGTAAGGCCACGAGCAGGATTTATGGGAGACACATCCAGAGGCTAATGACTGAACTCCAGGGGAGAAGTAGCATGTGCTTTATCACAGCCTCCAGGTTAGACTTAATGACCCACCATGCTGCTTTTCTCCCCTCCTTGATCTAAGAGGCCTTTTAGGTGCAGTCCGTTGAGGCAAACTGCATGCTTTTCCGTATCCAAGAATGGCTCTCCACAGCAGGGACCGGCCTCCCTGCCATCCAAGACATAGGTGTCTGGGACATTCGCTCCTCACTCTGATCTGTCTCCTCCCTTGTCTGTTTCAAATCGGGCATTTTTGTGTCTCTCCCTAAAACTCCCGGCTACCTGACCCTCAACTCTGATCTCCCTGAGCTTCCCTGTGAGCCCCTCTCCATGCTTAACTCCCAGTCCCATGTCGAGAATTTGAATATCTGTGTATCTTAAAGGCTGCCCTGCCAGGCAGAAGTGTAGTCTTGCTTTGACGCTCTTCATCCCAAGCCTGCTGTGCATGGTGGAGTCACAGGCTCCCTATCTGTGCCCGGGACAGTGTGCTTGTTCTGAGACACTGGGAATTGGAGAGGGCACATGCTGTGGGTGTACTGTTTACTGGAGAGAGCTGCCCTTGACTGATGGCTGCTGTGGAACAAACCAGTGCAGATACATAATTGTTAACACGAACTGTGCTGTCCCACATACTGTTTTAAATGCTTTACATTTATTAGCTCGTTTAAAAAAAAATTTTTTTTTTGAAACAGAGATAGAGATTGAGAGATTGATCTCATCTGCTGGTTCTCCCTGCAAATGCCCACAACAGCTGAGCTGGGCAGACTGAAGTCAGGAATCCGGAATTCTGTCTGGGCTTCCCATGTGAGTGGTAGGGATCCAAGTCCTTGAGCCATCACCTGCTACCTCACAGGATGCACGGTAACAGGAAGCTGGAATTGGAAACAGAGCTGGGACTCACACCCACGCACATTATTATGGGATGTGGGCATACCAAGCAGTGTCTTATCCACTGCACCAAACACCTACCTCTATTAACTGATAATCATCACAAACCAAATAATAGCTTTACTGTTAGTCCCATTCTACAAGTGAGGAAACTAAGGCCCCACAAAATTAAGTAACTTGGCTAAGGTTACCCTTCAACCTGAGAAGTCTAGGTACAAGATCTGTATTGAAGGGCCGGCGCTGTGGCACAGTGGGTTAGGCCACTGCCTGTGATGCCAGCATCCCATATGGGCACCAGTTCAAGTCTTGGCTGTTTCACTTCCCATCCAGCTCCCTGCTAATGTGCCTGGGAAAGCAGCAGAAGATGGCCTAAGTACTTGGGCCCCTGTACCCGTTTGGGAGACCAGGATGGATTTCTAGGATGCTGGCTTTGGCCTAGCCAGTCCTGGCTGTTGTGGCCATTTGTGAAGTGAACCAACAGATGGAAGAGCTCTCTCTCTTTTTCTGTGTGTGTGTGTGTGTGTGTGTGTATTTGTGTGTCCTCTTCTCTCTGTAACACTTTCAAATAAAATAAATAAATCTTTAAAAAAAATAAAAACAAAAATCTGTGTTGAGGGGCCAATGTTGTGGCACAGCAGATTAAGCTGCCACTTGCAACACTGGCATTGCATATCCGAGTGCTGAGTGAGCCCTGGCTGCTCCACCTCCCTGCTGTTGTGCCTGGGAAGGCAACAGATAATGTTCCAACAGCTTGGGCCCCTGCCACCCCATGAGAGACCCGGATGGAGCTCCTGGCTCCTGGCTTCAGTCTGGCCTAGCCCTGGGTGTTGGTAGGCCCTGGGGTAGTGAACCAGCGGATTGAAGATCTCTGTCTCTCCCACTGTGCCTTTCAAATAAATAAATAGATCTCAAAAGAAAAAAAATCTCTGTTGGCTGTTTCCAAGTTACATGTCTCAAATGCAAAGTGCCAGTGATCCATTTACATACAACAATATGTAGATCCAGGAACAGGCATTATGGCACATCAGGGTAAGCCACCACGTGCAATGCCAGCATCCCGTATCAGAGCCGTAGTTTGAGTCCCAGCTCCTCCGCTTCCAGTCCAGCTTCCTGCGAATGCTCCTGAGAAGACAGCGGAAGATGGCCCAAGTACTTGGGTTCTTCCCATCCACATGGGAGACACAGATAGAATTCCTGTCTCCAGGCTTCAGTCTGGCCTAGACCTGGCTATAACATCCATTTGGGGAGTGAACCAGCAGATGAATGATCTTGAGAGAGATGGGGAGAGGCACACAGAGATTTTCCACTTGCTGGTTCACTCCCTAAATGGTCACAACAGCCAGATCTGGGCCAGGCCAGAGCTAGGGGCCAGGAATTTCATCTGGGTCTCCTACCTGGATGACAAGGACGCAATCTGTTGCCTTCCCAGGTGCATTAGCAGGGAACTGGATTAGAAGTGGAGGAGCAGGGACTCAAACTGGCATTCAGTGTAGGATTCCAGCATCACAAGTGGTGGCTTAATCTGCTGCACCACAGCAATGGCCCCTTAAATAAATAAATCTTTTTTAAAAAATATTTAGGTCCAGGCCGGCGCCGCGGCTAGGCTAATCCTCCACCTTGCGGCGCCGGCACACCGGGTTCTAGTCCCAGTCGGGGCACCGGATTCTGTCCCAGTTGCCCCTCTTCCAGGCCAGCTCTCAGCTATGGCCCGGGAGTGCAGTGGAGGATGGCCCAAATCCTTGGGCCCTGCACCCCATGGGAGACCAGGAGAAGTACCTGGCTCCTGCCTTCGGATCAGCGCGGTGCGCCGGCTGCAGCGCACCGGCCACGGCGGCCATTGGAGGGTGAACCAACGGCAAAGGAAGACCTTTCTTTCTGTCTCTCTCTCTCACTGTCCACTCTGCCTGTCAAAAAAAATATATATATATTTAGGTCCAGTATACCTGTTTTGTAGACAGATGGTTCAAGAGCATTTCACCCATTGAAGTGTTCAGAGACCAGCTGACTTAGTGCGATGTGGAGCAGATCCTGCTCCCTATGCAGTCCCTTCCACCTCTGGTTCTGTGACCTCTGTGGATGCTCCTGCTTTTCTTGGGTTCCTGCTGTAGATCCATTCCTGGGCTTCCCTGACCAGTTTTGATCAGATGGTTCATATCATGAATCAAATTCAAAAGCAATTAATCAAATAACTGTTATCCTATGCTTAAATACAACAAACAAATGCCCATGCCGAGGAACCCAAGATTTGATCAGTTTTCCTAGGTTGAGTCGGACTTCGTCTGGTTTTCATTTAGCTGGCTAAGTATAAACAGTAGACCAAGAGCCACCTCCTGAGCTGACTTAGTGCTAGAAATTTCCCGAGCCTGGGCCCCAGTTGAAGTGATTGTTAGGGATTTGGAAATAGCCTCAGAGAAAAGCCATATTAACAGTTCCTTTCATGTGGCTTCCTCTGGTCCCAGAAACATGTGGCTTCCTTTACTTTTTCCTCAGCATGGCCGTCGTAGAGAGTTACACAACACACCACAATCGCTTCCAGGCACAGTTCCGCCTTTGAGCCCGGGATAAAAGGGAGTGCTTTCCTCCAACACTGTTTTCCGTCTCCAGCCTTCTAGTAACTTGGAACTGTGGGTGCTTTTTAATTCAGAAGGTGTCCTCTATTTCAGGTACCAGTACCCGACGATGGATGAGCTGGCTGAAATGCTGCCTCCTGTTCTCACCCACTTAAGGTAGGTTCATTCTTGAGTCTTTCATTCTCTACTTTGTGTCTGTTCCAGAGGGTATGACGTGAGCAACACAGAATAGTCACTATCCTCGTGGAATTAGTGGGGGAATAGCAAGTAAGCAAACAAAGAATCAGAGGAAGGTAGGACACTGTGGTAAACAGGGCAAGAGCTACACCTCGGCCGGCACCGTGGCTCACAAGGCTAATCCTCCGCCTGCGGCACTGGCACCCCGGGTTCTAGTCCTGATTGGGGTGCTACATTCTGTCCTGGCTGCTCCTCTTCCAGTACAGCTCTCTGCTGTGGCCCGGGAAGGCAGTGGAGGATGGCCCAAGTGCTTGGGCCCTGCACCCACATGGGAGGCAGAGGGGAGCACCTGGTTCCTGGCTTCAGATTGGCGCAGCGCGCCAGCCGTAGTGGCCATCTGGGGGGGGTGAACCAATGGAAAAGGAAGACCTTTCTCTCTCTCTCTCTCTCTCTCTCTCTCACTGTCTATCTCTGCCTGTCAAAAAAAAAAAAAAAAAAAAAAAAAAAAAGGCCAGCACCGCAGCTCAATAGGCTAATCCTCCACCTGTGGCGCCGGCACCCCAGGTTCTAGTCCCAGTCGGGGCACTGGATTCTGTCCCGGTTGCTCCTCTTCCAGTCCAGCTCTCTGCTGTGGCATGGGAGTGCAGTGGAGGATGGCCCAGGTCCTTGGGCCCTGCACCCCATGGGAGACCAGGATAAGTACCTGGCTCCTGGCTTCCAATCAGCGTGATGCGCCAGCTGCAGTGCACCGGCCACAGTGGCCATTGGGGGGTGAACCAACGGAAAAGGAAGACCTCTGTCTCTGTCTCTCTCACTGTCCACTCTGCCTGTCAAAAAAAAAAAAGAAAAAGAAAAAAGAAAAAAAGAGCTACACAGCAAGGCTGGTTAGGGAATGCCTCTAAGAACACGCCATCCTGGCCGAGCCCTGGAGGATACAAAGGACCTTAGACAGGGAGCCCAGCCTGGGCAAGAGGGTTCCAGAAGACAGGGTGGTTATGTATGTCCAGAGTCCTGGAGCAGACGAGCAAGTGGAGCAAAGGCAGGACGAAATCAGGAAATAGTACGGAGATTACTTAGATCTGACAGAGCATATCAGAATTTGTGGTTTTATTCTAAGTATAAAAAAAGAAATTGAAGGATCTTAAGCAGGGCAATGACATCTATTTCTTTAAAAATGACTATTCTAGGTGTGTAAATTGTATAGCAATAAGACCATTTAAATTTTCTTAAAAAGATTATTCTCTTTGTGGAATAGTTTGGAGAGAAGAGTAAGGAAAAAAAGCAGAGAGAACAGTTGAACTGTTACTATAGTCCTGGCAAGAGATGATGATAACTTCGTACTGGCTACTGCCAAGGGACAGATGGAAGTAGGTGGGAAAAAATGGAAGTGTTCCGGATGTGAGCGCCGCAGGACTGCTGACGACTGGGTCACTGAGTCGAGGGGACACTGCGGGTGGCGCCCAGGTTTCAGTCTTGTCTACCATTCAGACCAACTTGAAGGAAAGAAGTGGTATCCAACTTTGCCCTGTTTCTCACAAGTAGTAAATGTTAGAGCCAGGACATGAACCCAGATTGCATTTTCTTTTGTCATACAATGCTGTGCACCCATGAAGCTGACTCTGTTGATTGTCCATGTCCCATTCGCAGCCTGAAAAGCATCATTGGGATTGGAGTTGGAGCCGGAGCTTACATCCTCAGCAGATTTGCAGTAAGTAGTGGAGGAGGTACCTGACTCGCGTTACTACTGCGAAACGAGACGTTCAGGCATGATTCTGGGTCTTATGTCAATTTTTTCTGTAAATTCTTTGAGTTCCAGATAGAAGTTTTTCACAAAACCTTGCTTTGTACTTTTGGTACTCAAAAAACCACAAATGAAGGCAGAATGTTGTCAATAAAAAGTAAGTAAGTAGGTTATAGTTTTTGATGAAAATCCGTGTAGTAAGTTTGCGGGAATGTGTTGGGCTTAGTGGTTGAGCCACTACTTGGGATGCCTTCACATAAAATAATTTTTTTTTTTTTTTTTTTTTCAAATTAAGTAGGAGGGCTGGCACTATCGCATAGTAGCTTAAACATCTGCCTGCAGCACCAGCATCCCATATGGGCGCTGGTTTGAGACTCAGCTTCTCCACTTCCAATCCAGCTCCCAGCTGATGGCCTGGGAAAGCAATGGAAGATGGCCCAAGTGCTTGGGCTGCTGAACCAACATGGGAGATCAAGAAGAAGCTCTTTTTTTTTTTTTTTTTTGACAGGCAGAGTTAGACAGTGAGAAAGAGAGACAGAGAAAAAGTCTTCCTTCCTTTGGTTCACCCCCCAAATGGCCGCTGCAGCAGGCGCGCTGTGCCAATCTGAAGCCAGGAGCCAGGTGCTTCCTCCTGGTCTCCCATGTGGGTGCAGGACCCAAGCACTTGGGCCATCCTCCACTGCCTTCCCGGGCCACAGCAGAGAGCTGTACTGGAAGAGGAGCAACCAGGACAGAATCCGGCACCCCAACCGGGACTAGAACCCGGGGTGCCGGCGCTGCAGGCAGAGGATTAGCCTAGTGAGCCATGGCACCGCCAAGAAGCTCTTGGCTCCTGATTTCGGCTAGCCCAGCCCCAGCCGTGTGGCTGTTTGGGGAGTGAACCAGTGGATGAAAGACCTCTCTCGCTGCCTCTCCATCTCTCTGTAACTTTGCCTCTTGAGTAAAAAAAAATCTTTTACAAAAAAATTAAATGGGAACGGTTGGGGCTAGTGTTGTGGCGCTGCAGGCTAAGCTGCTGACCATGATCCCTGCATCCATGTGGCACTGGTTCAAGTCCTAGCTGCTCTACTTCCTATCCAGCACCCTACTAATGCATTTGGGAAAGCAGTGGAAGATGACCCAATTCTCGGGCCTCTGCCACCCATGTAGGAGACCCAAATGGAGTTGCTGGCTCCTGGCATCAGCCTGCCCCAGCTCTGGCTTTTGTGGGCATTTGGGGAGTGAAGCAGTAGATGGAGGGAGGATCTTCTCTCTGTCACTCCACCTTTGAAATAAGTAAACAAATGAGTCTTTTTTTTTTTTTTTACAAAAATGATTTATTTACGTATTTATTTATTTGAAAGGCAGAGTTATAGAGAGGCAGAGAGAAAGAGAGAGAGAGAGGTCTTCATCTGCTGGCTCACTCCCCGGTCGGCTGCAATGGCTAGAACTGGGCTGATCTGAAACAAAGAGCTTCTTCCAGGCTCCCATGCAGGTACAGGAGCCCAAGGTCTTGGACCATCTTCCACTGCGTTCCCAGGCCATAGGAGAGAGCTGGATCGGAAGTGGAGCAACTGGGAGTCGAACCAGCGCCCAAATGGGATGCCAGCACTGCAGGCGGTGGCCTTACCCATTACACCACAGCGCCAGCCCCAACAAATGAACCTTTTTTAAAGAGAGCATTCGTAATAATGTATAAAATTTGTATATACTATAATTAGCAAAAAAGTTTGTATGTAGTTTCACATCAAGTTTGTCATAGACATAGGAAAGAACTAGGAAGGAAATGTACAAAATATTAACAGGGTTGATGTGTGGTAAGATAATAATATTTTATTTCCTGTTTTTTCTGATTCTGCTTTCTGCAGTGAGCCTAATCAGGGTAATTGGCAAGGAAGTAAGCTAGAAAGTTCTGAGTTTTCATGGAAACTCTTCTGTTTCGGGATCTTTTTCTTGTAATTGATGTCTCCTGGAATGGCAGCACCCAGTGATGTGGTTTCAGAAAAAAACTGCAGAGGTCTTGCTGGGAACCAGATGCCTGATTGAGCAGGCGACCAGAGCGAAACGCTCATTCTGTTTTCTGTCTCACCTTTCAGCTCAGTCATCCAGAGCTCGTGGAAGGCCTTGTGCTCATTAACGTGGACCCTTGCGCGAAAGGCTGGATTGACTGGGCAGCTTCCAAAGTAAGTCTCAGATGCAAGCTTCCCTCGGCCCGTCTCCTGTTCCCTGCTCAAAACAGCTTAATTTGTTTATTCTTTGGAGTATATATGCAGTTAAGGGCAAAAACTTGGCAGATATTTACAGGTCAAAAACCACCACTCCATCTGTTGTTTCCCACACCCTAGAGATTCCCCTTGTGCCTTTCCCTGGTTGATATTTCCCGTCCTTCTCTGAAATAACCTTATTCTTACTTCCCTCACCTCAGATTGATTTTCCCTGTTGTTAAACATCATATAACTAGAATCAGACCTTATGTATTCTTTTGTGTCTAACTTCTTTAATTCATCATTGTGTTTCTGAGATTCAACAACATATCTAACAGTAGTGCTTTTTTTTTTTCTAGGCTTTACTTTTTGTTTATCTTTAATTGGCAGAGAGACAAGAGTGAGCTTCCATCTGCTAGTGCACTTCCAAAGTTGGGAGACAGCAGCTCGGGACAGGTCTTCTACATGGGTGCTAGGGACCCAATTACTTGAGCCATCACCACTGTCTCCCTCAGTCAGGAGCCTGAGGCGAATATTAAACCCAGTGGTCCAATATGAGATGCAGGCATCTTTTTTAAAAAAAAAGATTAATTTATTCATTTGAAAAGCAGAGCTACAGAGAGGCAAAGGCAGAGAGAGAGCGAGAAAGCGAGATCTTCCATCCTCTAGTTCACTCCCCAAATGGCTGTAATGGCCTGAACTAGGCCAACCTAAAGCCAGGAGCCAGGAGCTTCTTCCGGGTCTCCCACGCAGGTGCAGGGGCCCAAGCACTTGGGCTATCTTCTACTGCCTTCCCAGGCCATAGTAGAGAGCTGGATTGGAAGTGGAGCAGCCAGGACTTGAACCGGCGCCCCTATGGGATGCAGGCACTGCAGGCAGTGGCTTTACCTACTACAACACAGTGCCAGCCCCAAGCACTTGTTCTTGAATATCCTCTGTGAGGTGCCTGTTCAACTCTTTGTCCACTCCCCATCCATCCTTGTTTTAAAAAGATGCACTGTGTATGCATCCTTTGCTGGGTATATGTATCTCAAATATCTGTCCCTGGTCTGTGGTTTTCATTTTTATTCTTTTTGTTTTTTAAAAAAGATTTAATTTATTTATTTGAAAGAGTTACATAGACAGAGTTCCATCTGCTGGATCACTCTCCAAATGGCCAAAGCAGCCGGGGCTAGACCAAGCTGAAGCTAGGAGCCTGGAACCCCATCTGGTCTCCCTTGTGGGGGTAGTGACCCAAGTACTGGAGCCATCCTCCACTGCTTTCTCAGGTGCATTAGCTGGTGGCCGGATCAGAAGTGGAGCAGCTAGGACCTGAACCAGTGTTCACATGGGATGCCAGTGTTGCAGGAGGTGGTTTAATCTGGTGTACCATCACACTAGCCCCCACACTTTTTTTCTTTTTTTCTTTTGACAGGCAGAGTGGACAGTGAGAGAGAGAGACAGAGAGAAAGGTCTTCCTTTTCCGTTGGTTCACCCCTCAATGGCCGCTGCAGCCGGTGCACTGCGCTGATCTGAAGCCAGGAGCCAGGTGCTTCTCCTGGTCTCCCATGCGGGTGCAGGGCCCAAGGACTTGGGCCATCCTCCACTGCACTCCCAGGCCACAGCAGAGAACTGGACAGGAAGAGAAGCGACCAGGACTAGAACCCGGGGTGCCCACCAGGACTAGAACCCGGGGTGCCGGTGCCACAGGCGGAGGATTAGCCTATTGAGCTATGGCACCGACCACTTTTATTCTTAATAAATGAAGTTGAATAATGAATGAATAGCACAGGTTATCTGTGCTATTGCTCCCAAAATTTTGGGGGTGGTTGAGATCTGCTACCTGGAAAATGAACGAATTTGACCTCCAAAAGTTGTTCAAGAAGCCAGCAGTGTGCAAAGTGAGTTAAATGTCTATGCCACAGCACCAGCCCCATAAAAATAGATCTTCTAAAAAAAATTGATAATGCCTTTCTGGTATGTGAGAACATTAACACTTGCCTGAGTACTCTCAGTAACACGTAACAACCTAATAATACTTATAAAACTTCAGATTTATGAGCATTTATGAATGTTTGTGAGTACTCAAACATGAAGTTGAGAGTGGTTGTTAATTCTAATTACCTTTCATTTATAAGCTGTGGATAACTCATAACCCGTATAAAGATGATTGGGGAAGCATTTGGCCTAGCAGTTGGGATGTCGCCGTTGCATCTCAGAGTCCCTGGATTCAAGCTCTGGTTGCACTCCTAATTCCAGCTTCCTACTAATGTGCACCCTGGAAGGCAGTAGGTGAGGCTCAAGTACTTGGATTCCTGCCACCTATGCAGGAGGCCTCTATTGAGTTCTCAGCTCCCAGCCTCAGCCTGACTGAGCACCTGCCATTGTGGGCCTTTAGGGGGTGAACTGTCAGAGAGGAGCTCTGTGTCTCTCTACAGATGTTTAAAAAAGAATTAGAGGACTTCTATCTTCCTTAGTCTTTCTGGAATTATATGATCCTGGTCTGCCCACGTCTATATGTCTGTCTTCCTCACTCCTTAAGATTTATTTAGCTTATCTGAAAGTCAGAGTTACACAGAGAGGAGAGGCAGAGAGAGAGAGAGAGGAGAGAGGTCTTCCATCTGCTGGTTCACTCCCCAATTGGCCACAATGGCCAGAGCTGCACTGAACTGTCGCTCCCCCATTCGCGGAGGAACGACACAGGACCCTGCGTTGTTCTTTTGTCTGCTCGGCCCTTCCCGGGTTTGCTGCTGGTCCTTCCCGGGTTGGCTGCCGACCCCTCCACCTCTGTGGAGGGGCAGTACCCCCTGCCACTTTCCCCACTTCCGCGGAGGAGCGGCACACCGCCGGCCGGCTCTCTCGGGGGCTGCTCAGGTGTTCCTTCAGGTGTTCCCCGTGCATGTTGTCTCTCTCCTCCTTTATAGTCCTCTTCCACCAATCCCAACTCTGCTACCCACACGCCGAGCACGCTGCTCTCCTCCAATCAGGAACAGGATCAGCTCCTGCAGCTTATCAGTCAAATTGGCGAGAGGCAGCTGCGTAGAAGTTTACTCCTCCCCAGCGCCATATTGTGGGAGAGCAGATGCATAGAATAAGTCTTAATTCCAGTAACTTAGTCTAGTCTCAGTTGCTCCCCACACTGAACCACAGCCAGGAGCTTCTTCTGGGTCTCCCACGTGGGTGCAGGGGTCCAAGGACTTGGGCCATCTTCTACTGCCTTCCCAGGTCATAGAAGGGAGCTGGATCGGAAGTGGAGCAGCCAGGACTAGAACCAGTGCCCATATGGGACTCCAGCACTGCAGGCAGCGGCTTTACCTGCTACGCCACAACACTGGCCCCTCCTCAATCCCTTTGTTCCCACCCCTAACTCAGTATTTTACCTCTGACCCAAGTCAGAGTCCAGTTCAGCATAAAACCAAGAGAAAAGGCTTAAGGGGAGTCAATAATGTAATGTGAGCTTGGAAGTTTTTCTGAAAATAGACTGATAGTCTGCAGACTTATAATAATTTTATAGACCTGGAGACGTATCATTTGAAATGGGAAGAATTAGGAACAAAATACTCAAAATGCAAGAACATTCTGTAATCATAGCTTTTCTCCCCACTTTCTGAAATGAAGATAGCAAAAACTGAAAGAGAGGAAAGAATTGTTTGGTTCTGTCTCTGGAATGTCTTGAGAGTGTTACAAGTTGAGTTATCAACCATCCATCTCGTGTGAAGGCAGAAATACAGGCAGGAATGATGCAGCAAATAGCCACAAGTTCTGGGTCTCAAGTTTTCAAAGAAGAAATGTCAGCATCTCTTCTAGCCTCTGTTTCACAGGAGGCACTATCATTACCTGGAAGGGAGACCTAGTTTTCTTCTGACTGTGGTTCTCATGTGTCTTTGAAACCACCATCTCATCAAAATGTACAACACGCATTGTGGGAGATCTCTTGGTACTGAAGGCTAATGTGTACAGACTATGGTGCAACCTTCTCCAGGGGAAAGCTTGGTCCTTTTGGTATGTGCTTCCTCTCTTGACACAGAGTTTATCTTTTCAGCTCTCAGGACTGACAACCAATGTTGTGGACATTATTCTGGCACATCACTTTGGGCAGGTAAGTTCCTGTTCCACCTGGGAGAACTGTGCATATCGTCTTCACAGAACGAGTGAGGCTGAGACGTGCGTGGTACTGCCACGGCCAGCCGTGTGCCACATGGCCCTTGGCATTTGGAGAGCTGAGAGAAGACAGCAGCTCCCCCTCCCCCCACCTCCCTGTAAGTAGGGTGCCATCTGTTAATGTTTGACAACATCACGTGCCTCACCCAACATCTTGAGAGCCATCAGGAGGTCCTGGGAAAGGCTTCACCGAAATAGAAATTTCGGGGGGGGGGGGAGTGAAATGTGGGTGCTTAAAGAACCCCAGAGATTATCTTGTCCGCCATGAACTGGTGAAGACACTGACAGTCGACAGAGAAGTGATAGTTATATGCATGTTTGTTGGGTGTGCCTGTGGGGAAGGCATCCCTCTTGGAAAGGGAAAGGGAGGGAGGTGAGCTGGGGCAGAGTGCTGGGAGTCTGTGAGCAGTGGGGTCGGAGAACTGGGAGCCTTCCAGAGTGGGGAGGGGAAGGCAGTATGGAGAGCAGGAATGGGAGCTCAATTAGAGTCTGTGTTGTTCATTTTAAATATTATATGACAGGAAATGGTAGGTGTGGAGAGAACTAGCGTTTATTTATTGAGTACTGTTTTTTATGTGCTATGGACTTCAATACGTGCTTTATGTATACAAACCCTGTGTTTTTAAAATAGGTCTGTTAGCCTGAATTTTTTTTTTAAAGATTTATTCATTTATCTGAAAGTCAGAGTTACAGAGAGAGATCATCTATCTGCTGGCTCACTCCTGAGGTGGCCACAACAGCTGGGATGGGCCAGGACAATGCGGGAGCCAGGAGCTTTGTCTAGGTCTCGTACTTGGGTGGCAGGGATTCAAACACTTAAGCCATCCTCCACTGCTTTTCCCAGACCATTAAGCTGGGGCTGGATCAGAAGTAGGACAGCCAGAACACGAACTGGCACCCATATGAGGTGCTGGTGTCACAGGCGGTAGCTTTACCTGCTGTACCACAGTTCCGGACCCCAACCTGATTTTAAGATGGGAAAATTGAGAGTCCCAGCGAGTCAGCATAATTTGTCACTGGCTGGGGGCTGGCGTTGTGGCACAGCAGATTAAGCTGCCACTTGGAGCACTGGCTTCCAATATGGGTTCCACTTCAAGTTCCTGCTGCTTCATTTCTAATCCAGTTCCTGACAGTCTGCCTAGGAAAGCAGCCAAAGATGACCAAGTACTTGGGCCCCTGCAGCCATGTGGGAGACCCAGAGTTCCAGGCTACGGGCTTTGGCCTGGCCCAGCGCTGGGCACTGTGGCCATTTGAGGAGTGAACTAATGGATGGAAGCTCACTCTCTGGCTGTGTGTGTGTGTGTGTGTGTGTATGCATGCATGCGTAGGTCACCCACTCTCTCTAACTAACTCGGCCTTTTAAATAAATAAATTAAAAAAAAAAAAAGAAAGAAAGAAAGAATTGGGGCCAGCAATGTGACACAGTGGGTAAAGCCATGCCCTGCAGCACTGGTATCCCATATGGATGCTGGTTCAAGTCCCAGCTCCTCTACTCCCAGTCCAGCTCCCTGCTAATGCACCTGGGAAAGCAGCAGAAGATGGTCCACATACTTGGGCCCCCTGTACCCTATGGGAGACCCAGAAGAAACTCCTGGCTTCTGGCTTCAGCCTGGCACAACCCCAGTTGTGGCCGTTTGGGGAGTGATCTAGTGGGTGGAAGATCTCCCTCTTTCTCTCTTTCCTCTCTCTCTGTAACTCTACCCTTCAAATAAATTTAAAAAAAATTTTTTTAAGATTTTTATTCATTTATTTGGGAGGCAGAATTATACACAGAGAGAGGGAGAGACGGTGAGAAAGGTCTTCCATCCGCTGGTTCACTCCCCAAATGGCCACAATGGATAGAGATGGACCAATCCAAAGCCAGGACTCAGGAGCTTTTTCCGAGTCTCCCACATGGGTGCAGGGTCCCAAGCACTTGGGCCATCTTACTGCTTTCCTAGGCCATAAACAGGGAGCTGCATTGAAAGTAGAACAGCCAGAACTCAAACTAGTGCCCATATGGAATACCAGCACCCCAGGCAAGACTTAACCTATTATACCACAGCACCAGCCCCAAATAAAGAAATTGATTGCTTGATTGACAGAGTTATAGACAGTGAGAGAGACAGAGAAAGGTCTTCCTTCCGTTGGTTCACTCCCCAAATGGCCACTACGGCCGGCGCTGTGCCAATCCGAAGCCAGGAGCCAGGTGCTTCCTCCTGGTCTCCCATGTGGGTGCAGGGCCCAAGCATTTGGGCCATCCTCCACTGCCCTCCCAGGCCACAGCGGAGAGCTGGACTGGAAGAGGAGCAACCAGGACTAGAACCTGGCTTTGTATCAGCACAGCTCCAGCTGTTGCTGCCAGTTGGGAAGTGAACCAGTGGTTGGAAGACCCCTCTCTCTCTGTGCCTCTCCTTCTCTCTCTGTGTAACTCTAACTTTCAAATAAATAAATTAATTAATTTTTTAAAAATGGAGAGTAGTTAGGACTTACCTGTGGTCTCTCGTTTTGAGTGCTGGTTAGTCAATGACGAGTAAGATCCCCTGGGGGACAACCTAAGACAGGCACAGCTGCATACGGAGACCACATGGAAATGGGGTCAACAATGGTATGACCAAGAATCAGGCCTCCCGTTGCTCAAAAATAAACGAAAAGGGGGAAATGTGGTGGAATGAGAAGGTGAAAAGGTCATGCCAAGATGGCCACTGAGGTGAGAAGGTCATACCAAGATGGCCGCTGACGACAGAAACTGCCTGGCAACAGGTCGTGATTGGATGGCTTCAGAAACCACATGATAACAGAGCCTGACTGACAACAGGCTGTGATTGGATGGTTTCAGAAACTACCTGGCAGCAGAGCCTGACTGGCAACAGGCTTTGTTTGGATGGCTTTGGAAACTGCATGGCAACAGGCTGTGATTGGTTAGGGCATAGACCACCCCTTGACCAGATTGGCTGCCTTGGCTATATAAGCAGCTGTAGCAACTGAAATAAACAAGTTTGCGGGCTGCTCACCTCTGGCCTGCTTTCACCTGACTCCTGGGGTCTGTGTGGTGACTCCGAGCCTCTTGCCCCCACCACGCTCCTCCTCTCAGAAGGAATCCTCTCAGAAGGAATCAGCTGCAACACTTACCAGGTGCTCCAGTGTGGGATACGTGCACCCCAAGTGGCAGTTTAATTTGAGGCGTTTACAACATCTGTCCAACAGATTCCCATGTATTTTGGATTAGAGAAGCTCTTTAAGGCTTCTAATCAAGAATTCACCCAGGTTTTTCTTCTTAGAGAATCTGGTTTTCTTCCAGCTGATTCCTTTAGGTTTGGCTCCATATTGTCATCTCTGTAATTGAGGTGTAACTTCCATAGAGTGTCGTGCACGTGCGTGCGTCAGTGACCTTTCCCTTCCTATACATTCCAGTAGCCACCATGTAAATCAAGATGAGAACGTGTCCACCACCCTCTTCCTCACCGATCCCACGCCCCAACGTGTTCTTTCCCTCCTGATCTTGAACTTCGTGTCAGTGGGCTCGCAGTGTGCACTGCTGTGGGTCTGGCTTCCTTTGCAGGGCATGCAGGTGACATTCATCCCATCACGCCATGTGTATTAGTTCTCCATGACTGTAATGGAGTCCGTTACAGCTTTCTAATTCCACCATTTATTTATTCTCATATGACTGAGCATCTGGGTTGTTTCCAGTCCTTTGTTTTTTTTTTTTTTTTACTATTATAAATAAAACTGTGATAGACATTATGCATCTCTTTTTGAACATATGCACTCAGTTCTCTTGGCCTCTCTCTCTCAAAATATGCATGTATTTCCGCTTGTTGATTTCTCAGTTCTAGGCACTATCTGTGAACTTTTAACTATGGGAGGTAGTTTCTTTCTCTTTGGTGCACACATCCTGTCCCTTGACACACATTTGTATTTCCCACTCCATGCTCACAACATAACCAGCATTTTTGATTAAGTATTATTCAGAGCTCGGCCTTGACCACTGTCTTTTTCTTTTTGTTGTTGTTGTTGTTTTTATTTTTATTTTTTTTGACAGGTAGAGTTAGACAGTGAGAGACAGAGAGAAAGGTCTTCCTTTTTCCATTGGTTCACCCCCCAATGGCCGCTACGGCCAGTGTGTTGCGGCTGGCGCGCTGCACTGATCTGAAGCCAGGAGCCAGGTACTTATCCTGGTCTCCCATGGGGTGCAGGGCCCAAGGACCTGGGCCATCCTCCACTGCCCTCCCAGGCCACAGCAGAGAGCTGGCCTGGAAGAGGAGCAACCGGGACAGAATCCAGCGCCCCGACCGGGACTAGAACCCAGGGTGCTATTTATTTGAAAGGCAGAGTCACAGAGGCAGAGAGACATTCACTGGTCACTCCCTAAATGGCCACAACGGCCAGAGCTGGGCCGATCCAAAGCCAGGAGCCAGGAGCTTCTTCAGGTCTCCCACACAGGTGCAGAGCCATCTTCTGCTGCTTTCCCAGGCACATTAACAAAGAGCTGGATTGGAAGTGGAGTAGCCGGGTCTTGAACCTGTGACCCTATGGGATGCCAGAACTACAGGCGGCTTTACCTGCTACACCACAGTGCCGGCCCCAACTACTGTCTTTTTCTATAGAATATTTTGTGCTTTCTTGAGTTGTTTTTATTTTTGTTTTGTATTAATTACTTACTATTCTATGTGTTATCAGTATTTCAGATGGTCCCCTCTGACTAGGTAAACTCCATATTCAATACATTCAAGCACATTAAGCAAACTGATTTTCATGTTATTGAAGAAGTCTCTCCCACAGCATTCCCACTGCTGTAGTGTATGCTGATTTGATAATCGGTATCAATTGGCCTCTGTGTATAGGCCCCTATGTTATTTGCGTCTTTACTGCAGGCTGAGACCTATTAGCTCAAAAGCCTTCCAGCACTGAAATTAAATTCTCACACATCAAGTTATTTGAAAAATAGCTCAGCAATTTAAGACGTTTCTTGGGGCACCTGAATCTCAGAGTGCTGAGTTCAAGTTCCAGCTCTATATCCCATTCCAGCTTCCTATTAATATGCACCTTGGGGCCAGCACCACGGCTCACTAGGCTAATCCTCCGCCTGCAGCGCCGGCACCCTGGGTTCTAGTCCCGGTTGGGGTGCCGGATTCTGTCCCGGTTGCCCCTCTTCCAGTCCAGCTCTCTGCTGTGGCCAGGGAGTGCAGTGGAGGATGGCCCAAGTGTTTGGGCCCTGCACCCGCATGGGAGACCAGGAGAAGTACCTGGCTCCTGGCTTCAGATTGGCACAGCGCCGGCCGTAGCGGATTGAACCAACTTGGGGATTGAACCAACGGAAAAGGAAGCCCTTTCTCTCTCTCTCTCTCTCTCACTGTCTAACTCTGCCTGTCAAAAAAAAAAAAAATTTAAAAAAAATTTAAAAATATGGACCCTGGGAGGCAGAAGATGGTGGCTTAAGTAGTGTGTCCCTGCCACCTGTGTGGGAGAAATGGGTTGAATTCCAGGCCCAGCCTGGCCCAGCCCTAGCAATTGTGAGCATTTAGAAAATGAAGCAGCAATTGGAATTAGCGTGTGTGTGTGTGTACATACATGCTTTTCAAATAAAATAGAAATACATTTTTAAAAAATGTTAGTAGCCCAAGCAGTATTTTAGCCATTTAGAGCCCTTATGCTTTACATATCCTTTAAAGCTTCATCCTGTGTCTGCTAGCCACTGGTCAGATGGAGCCTCTTAGTTACAGCACCCTAGAGCTACTGTGGCTCTTCAGGGGCCTCTCACCCAGGGACTCCTCCCATGCTGCTGAGTTGTGTCACCCAGACACAAGAGCCACCTCTCCAGTTCTCCTGTTCCCCAGGAGTTCCCTTGTTCTCCCCTTCTAGACAGTGGCCTTCCTGCCATGTGAGCTTCTGGACAGTCTTGTTCCATGAGGGACTTCCCCTCTGATACAATCTGTCTATACACCACACAATGAAATTTGCATAGGGGCCAGTGCTGTGGCACAGCGGGTTAATTTCCTGGCCTGAAGCGCTGGCATCCCATATGGGGCCGGTTCTAGTCCCAGCTGCTCCACTTCCAATCCAGCTCTCTGCTATGGCCTGGGAAAGCAGTAGAAGATGGCCCAAGTCCTTGGGCACCTGCACCCACGTGGGAGACCCGGAAGAAGCTCCTGGCTCCTGGCTTCGGATTGGCGCAGTTCCGGCCGTTATAGCCAATTGGGGAGTGAACCGTCGGATGGAAGACCCGTTTCTCTCTCTCTCTCTCTCTCTCTCTCTCTCTCTCTGTGACTCTCCTCTCTCTGTGTAACTGTGACTCTCAAGTAAAAAATTAAAAAAAAAATTTTTTTTGACAGGCAGAGTGGACAGTGAGAGAGAGAGACAGAGAGAAAGGTCTTCCTTTTGCCGTTGGTTCACCCTCCAATGGCTGCCGCGGCCGGCGCGTTGCAGCCAGCGTACCAAGCTGATCCGATGGTGGGAGCCAGGTGCTTCTCCTGGTCTCCCATGGGGTGCAGGGCCCAAGCACTTGGGCCATCCTCCACTGCACTCCTGGCTACAACAGAGAGCTGGCCTGGAAGAGGGGCAACCGGGACAGAATCCGGCGCCCCAACCGGGACTAGAACCCTGTGTGCCGGCGCCGCAAGGCGGAGGATTAGCCTAGTGAGCCGCAGCGCCGGCAATAAAATAAATCTTTAAAAAAAAAAAGAAACTTGCATATTACTATCTCTCACGTTGTGCATTATTCCTTGATCAGCCCCAAATCCCTGAAGCCCTCTATGTTACCTTATTCGCCTGTTCCACAGCTGTTCTCCTTTCTTTAATTATAGCCTTTTTGTTGGGACAACAGATAAGATGCCACAGGGGTGGTTCCAGTAATGGGGAGAACTCCTGAGGGAGAACTGCACTGAGATCCAGGCTCCTAGCTTCAGCATAGCCCAGCCTAGACTGGGTGGCCATTTGAGGATGAACTAGTGGACAGAAAATCTCTGTTTCTCTGTCTCTCTGCCTTTCACATAACATTTTTTTAAGATTTGTTTATTTATTTGAAAGAGTTACAGATAAAGAGAGAGATCTTCCATCTACTGGTTCTCTCCCCAAGTGGCTGCAACGGCCAGGGCTGGTACACATCAAAGCCACGAGCTTCATCCAGGTTTTCCACTTGGTAACAGGGGCCCAAGGACTTGGGCTATCTTCTGCTGCTGTCCCAGGCACATTAGCAGGGAGCTGCATTCGAAGTGGAGCACCCAGGACACAAACCGGTGCCCATATGGGATGCTGGCATTGTATCCAGCTTCTAGTACTGCTATTTGATTTGTAATTGTTGCATGAAATCAGTTTTGTATGTATAAATAGGTAAAGCACTAGTTTTATAAGTGAGGACATAGATAAGTTAATTATATAGATTGATGGTTATTAAAAGAAATGTTACCTTCTATTTATTTTATACTTTACAGTTCATGTAACTTATTTAATCTTAAAACAGTCATGTCATGTAGCTGGTCATTATCTTCAATTTACAGACAGTATCTTTATTTTTATGAGAAATAGCAGAACATTAAAAAATAATAACACAGGTAAGGAAACCAGCATTCCGAATGGTTAGAAGACCCAAGTTCTGTGGCTGGTACTTGAGTCTATGATATGTTCTCTGGTACCTGACACAGAATGTGACACTGAACCTGTCTGATGCCAATTAAAAAAATGTTTGCCCTTGAAACTGCCCAGTTATCATAAGCAGCAGCATTTGGCTTTTGGTTTGAAAATGTCAGCCACACAAGGTGGACTTGTTCTGTAGCTCAGAAATTGAACTGTGTCTTTCTTCAATTGTTCTAGGAAGAACTGCAGGCCAACCTGGACCTGATTCAAACCTACAGATTGCACATTGCCCAAGATATCAACCAAGAAAACCTGCAGCTTTTCCTGGGCTCCTATAACGGGTACAGTTACTCCCTGGTGCTTCCTCTAAATGTAGACTAGGTCCAAAAACACAGTTGACATCTAAGGCAGAGAGGAGGGGCTTACACTGCTTCTCCCAGCGCTAGGGGTGGGATCGACTTCCAGACCAGCGCTTTCTCGAAGAACGAGTGCAGAGAGCTGTTCTGGGATGTTGAAGTACCACTTGTAGTCTGACGTGTGTTGAGACAAAACGTACTTAAGTTAGGTACACACACAAGTAATCGGAAGTAGCACAGGAAAATGCACCGGGGTGGGGGTGGGGTCGAAGGAGAGGAGCCTTGGGCTTTGGTTTAGTTTCCCTTGCTGACATCTTGTCATCAGGCAAAAGTAACGCATGGCCACTGAATTACAGAACTCACTGTCGCGTCTCCCCGCCCCTGAGACAGGGAGAGACAGAGTCAAAGAGTGGGTTTTTATTGTGGATCCAGCTTCTCCAAAGTGGAAACATTGGCTTCTTCTGACTTCCTGGGAACACGGGAAAAGCTTGAGGATCTGGGTGAGCTGTGCCTTACCCAATGTTACGCAGCCAGGAAGGAGCAAAACCAGGTTCCGATTCTGCTCTCTAGCCCTTTGGTCTTTTATACCAAAGTCTCCCTACTTCTAGTTGAAACCAGAGAGATCAAGTCCTATGCTGAACGGTTACAGTAAAACACCTGTCCAGAAAAGTATGTCACTCCCGCTTCTTAAGGAGTTTGTTTCTTTGAACTAGTTTAGTTGGAAGACTAAACACTTAGGAGTCGCAAGTCCCAGTTGCTTCCTCTTCAGTCCCGTAGGTCTCCCGAGCTCCACCCCAGGGCTGAGCCAGGAGCCAGGCTGCTGCCCGAGGCAGGTGGCTACCAGGAAGCAGCATGCTGGGCTGTTAGGGAAAGAGAATGTCTGTGTCCTTGAGAGATGCTGGGTTTCAAGAGCAGGAAATAACCTGAGTCGTTGTGACGTTCCTGAAGGGGCATTGCTTCTGCTCTGTTTTTCTAGACGTAGAGACCTCGAGATCGAAAGACCTATTCTGGGCCAAAATGATAACAGATTAAAAACACTGAAGTAAGTGCCTCTGGTGCCCCCACGGAACTGCTAGATGTCTCTGCATGTAGTGGACTGAGCGTTGCTGGAGTGTGTGTGCTGTTTTCTGAATGCCACCTGTTCTTGCTTGTACCTAGATGTTCCACGTTACTGGTGGTAGGAGACAATTCACCTGCTGTTGAGTCTGTGGTGAGTACGCCCTTAGTGTGGAGACGAGTGAGAGTAAAGCGTGCTGAGGCACGGAGAGCACGCTGCTCTCTGCCAGAAACTGTTGCCCGTACTAGTGTGGTGTTCTGATTATACACGTTATGGTTTGCTCTCTGCTACACATTTGGAAAATTACTTCCTCCTCAACCACTAAGTTCCATAAAATTGTTTCCTCCTTTCTTTTTTCTTAGGTCGAATGCAATTCTCGCCTCAACCCCGTCAATACAACTTTGCTGAAGGTAACGTCTCCCCCCTTGCCAGCCGGCTGTGAGTATGTGAGGCTGGGTTCACTGTGATAGTTCCCCTTTATGGGTCTCGCGCGCTTTCTCAGAAGCCGTTTATCCTGAATATATTCTCATTGTAGAAAACAGAGAAAGCATGAAGAAGAATAGAAATTAACATTACTTATAATCCTGTCCCGACGGTAACCTCTAATAAAATCTTGGTGTCGTTTTCCTATACATTTTTATATCATTAACATCAGAGGACATTTGTGGCCCTGTCACTTTTCCTCACTTTTATGACATAAGCGTGTTCCCATGTCATTAAAACCTTCATGAGCATTATTTAATGTTGTGAGAATTAAGAAAATGGATGGAAATGCTTTGCTTGCTAAATCCTGTTGTATCAGTAAGGAACTTCCCAGTAACTTTCTAATGATGAGGCAGGATGCACTTTCTTTCTCTTAGGGCAAGTTTAGACTGATGTCCTAGGCTTGATATCAAGTTCCCCCTCTTTCGAGTGTACCCCAGGCAAGAGTTGCAACCTGGTATGGTCTCAGCCTCACATCTGCCAAGCTGTCTCACGGAGCCGATCCCCTGGTTGGAACTGGGACAACTGTAGATCTTAGTGCGAGTCTTTTGTTGCCTTCTGCTACGTTTTCAGTCCAAACCCCGCTGCTGTCTTCCCTCTCTTTGAAGTGTGCTTGAAAGGGAGGTGTTGTCACCAGAAGCAGCCGTGGTTCTGAGAAATACATCATGAGGTTAATGCTTTGAGGTGACCAAACTCAAAATGTTTTTGGCTCCAGGAGATTTTCACAGCAGGTTTGAATCAATATTCAAAAGGCTAAAACTGAACTCTGCAATAGCCGTAGACATGGTTATATTCTGTGGGAAACCATGCAGCAATGCAGTGAAATGGGTAACTCCCACGGCAGACTGAACTGATCCTCAGACAGTCTGATGGGTACCAGTCTTAGCTTCTCTGCATAGAGGCACTGCTTTCTAGTTCTAATCGGGTTTCAGCTCCTGAACTTCAAGAAAACACAGCCTGGGGGTCAGCATTAGGGCACCACAGTGCCAGCACCCCTTACCAGAGTATCATTTCAAGTCCTGGCTCTTAGGCTTCCAATCCAGCTCCCAGCTTGGGCTCCTGCCATCCATGTGGGAGACCAGGATGGAATTCCTGGCTCCTGGCTCCTGGCTTCGGCCTGGCCCAGCCCTGGCCATTGCAGACATTTGGGAAGTGAACCAGTGAATGGAAGGTCTCTGTTTCTGTGTCTCACTCTTTGTTTCAAATAAATCAGTCAGTCTTTGGATAGAGAGGAAGAGAACACAAGCCTGTACCATTTTCCTGCTTTGTGTTTGTCAGCTTGTCTCTTATGCTTAGTGTTTCCAGGGGTCGATCCGGGCCAGCCTTCAAGGGCCTTACCCTCTCCTAACTGAGAGACTCCTCCCCAGAAAAGTGTTTTTTTATGTTTTTATGCCTACATAGTTTGTACATATTTGTGAGGTACCTGTGGTATTTTGATTCGTACATACATTATATGGTGATCTAATCAGGGTACTTATCATACACCCATTGCCTTAAACATTTATCATTTCTCAAATAAAGCTTTAATGCCAGTAAATTAAACCATAGGGTTCATATTCCTTTAAAAATTGCCAGGCAGCTCAAATAGGATATTCTCTGAGCATAGGGAACATCTCAGGGAGGGAGAGTGAGCTAGTGGGTTTCCATCATGCCTAGAAACTGTGCTCCCTGCAGAGTTGCAGAGTCTGTGTCGCCTGGGAGCGTGTTAGCAGGGAAGTTCTCAAGTTGTTTTGCTTTTATTGGAAGGCCAAAAGACAGAGATAGGGATAGACAGAGATTTCCATCTGCTGGTTCACTCCCCAAATGCCCACAACAGCCGGCGCTGGACCAGACCAGTTCTGGAAGCCCGGGGCTCAATTCAGGTCTCCCATGTGGATGGCAGGGACCCAAGTACTTGAACCATCACCACTGCCTCCCACATCTCTGCATTGGCAAGAAGCTAGGGTCAGGAACCAGAATCTAGGCACTCCGGTATGGGATGCAGGTATCCAAGTCAGTGTCTTTTTGTTTTATTAAGGTTTTATTTATTGGTTTGAGAGGCAGAGTCACAGGCAGAGGCAGATAGAGGAAAATACAGAAAGGTCTTCTATCGGGGCTGGCGCTGTGGCACAGCGGGTTAAAGCCCTGGCCTGAAGTGCTGACATCCATATAGGCGCCGGTTCTATTCCCAGCTGCTCCTCTTCCCATCTAGCTCTCCTCTATGGCCTAGGAAAGCAGTAGAAGATGGCCCAAGTCCTTGGGCACCTGCACCCGTGTGGGAGACCCGGAAGAACCTCCTGGCTCTTGGCTCAATGGCTCCAGCCATTGCGGCCATCTGGGGAGTGAACCATCGGATGGAAGACCTTTCTCTGTGTCTCTACCTCTCTCTGTAACTCTTTCAAATAAATAAAATTTTTTTAATTAATTTATTTGACAGATAGAGTTAGCCAGTGAGAGAGAGAGAGAAAGGTCTTTCTTCCATTGGTTCACTCCCCAAATGGCTGCCACTGCCAGTGCTGTGCCAAACCGAAGCCAGGAGCCAGGTACCTCCCCCTGGTCTCCCATGTGGGTGCAGGCGCCCAAGACTTGGACCATACTCCACTGTCCTCCCGGGCCACAGCAGAGAACTGGACTGGAAGAGGGGCAACCGGGACTAGAACCCGGCGCCCATATGGGATGCCGGTGCTGCAGGCGGAGGATTAACCAAGTGAGCCACGGCGCCGGCCCCCAATAAAATAAATCTTTAAAAAAAAAAAAAAAAATCAAAGGTCTTCTATCTACTGGTTCACTCACCAAATGGCCGCAACAGCTGGAGCTGGACTGATTCAAAGCCAGCAGCCAGGAGCTTCTTCTGGGTTTCCCATGCAAGTGCAAAGGCCCAAAGACTTGGGCATCCTTCACAGCTCTCCCAGGTGCATTATTAGGGAGCTGGATCAGAAGAGGAGCATCTGGGAAACGAACCAGCACTCATATGGGATGCCAGTGCTGCAGGCAGAGGCTTAGCCTACTAGGGCACAGAGCCGGCCGCCAGTGAGTGTCTTAACCACTGTACCAGAGACTACTCCAGAAGTAGAAGTTCCTAAACCCCAGCCTAGACCTCTTGACTCAGAGTCTCTGGGGCAGGAACCCGTGAATCATGAGTTTTAACAAGTCCTTGAGGGGCCGATGCTGTGGCGCAGTGGGTTAAAGCCTTGGCCTGAAGCGCCAGCATCCCGTGTGTGTGCCGGTTCTAGTCCCTGCTGCTCCACCACTTCTGATCCAGCTCTCTCTTATGGCCTGGGAAAGCAGTAGAAGATGACCCAAGTCTTTGGGCCCCTGTACCCACATGGGAGACCCAGAAGAAGCTCCTGGCTCTTGGCTTTGGATCGGCGTAGCTCTGGCCGTTGCAGCCATCTGGGAAGTAAACCAGCGAATAGAAGACCTCTCTCTCTGTCTCTACCTCTCTCTGTAACTCTGTCTTTAAAATAAATAAAATAAATCTTAAAAAACAAACAAACAAACAAACAAAAAACTCAAGTCCTTGAGGTAATCCCAGTGCACACGAACAAAGCCTAGGAGAATACCCAAGAAACCCTTGCCCAGGAGAGAGTAACTGCTGTAAACGTTCCTGCAGTGGGCAGCAACGAGGGGCCTGTGCGTGCGGGTCTGCTGAGTGTAGTCTCAGCTCCTGACTGGAGAGCTCCCCGTCATCAGGAAGGTGACGAAGGGTGGAAGGGGACATAGAAACGTGACGCACTGCGATGGTCGGGCCATGTGGTTCAAGGACCCCAAAAGCAACATTGCTCAGGGACAGGCAAAGCTGTGGTTGAAAGCAGCAAATAACTCCCCATCACCCCAGTGGAAAATGCCTTCCAAGGGCCTAGAAGCCAGGCCTTGCGCCTGCCTGATAAATAAGCATTGAGTATTTGTTTCAGATTTGTCCCCAGGGTGATTGTTAAGATCTAAGTCTTCATGTAAGAATGCTTTAAATAGATGTAGACTTGGGTGCAGTTAATCATTAAGGAACCTGGAGCAGGCATTTGGCAAGCGGTTATGATGCCAGTCTCTACGCCTGCATCCTGTATCCGAGTGCCTGGGCTCAAGTCCCATCTCTGCTTCTGATGAGGATCGAGTACCTGGGTCCCTGCCCCCTGTAAATGTTTAAAATTTTAAATCAAAACAAATTAAGGAACCTAACTGTGCCCTGTTGCAAAAGATTTTGGAGGTCAGAATGTTTTCCTTAAGTTTAAGCCCCAGCTAACCTCCGTGTTCTTCCCGTTCTAGATGGCAGACTGCGGGGGCCTGCCCCAAGTGGTCCAGGTAAGGACGTTCTTGTCAGCGCCCATTCGCTTCTCCCTGTGTGCCGTGCAGAGATTAATGCCTTGTTGTTCTGTCCCCCAGCCTGGGAAGCTCACGGAGGCCTTCAAGTACTTTTTGCAGGGAATGGGCTACAGTGAGTAGTATCCGACTTTCTATCTAGCAACAATGTATGGAAACGGGGGGTCAGTTTGACATCCAGGAGCCCCCAGTTCTTGGGCATGCCCCGTGGGCTCGCCAGCCTTAAGCAGAAGCCAGAGCACAGAGCGCTCGTCTGTGCGCATGTGTAACTGTTAAGCCCTTGCCTTCTGTCAGCCACTGTGTGCTCTGACCTCACAGGTAAGTTCTGGGATTCGTCCCATTTTGTAGAAATGAGCTCAGAAGGGCTCAGCTCATTGCCAGGGTAACCAGGGTAACGCACAGCCGTGGTTCAGTCTGGCAGTCCGACTCCAGGGTAACGCACAGCCGTGGTTCAGTCTGGCAGTCCGACTCCAGGGTAACGCACAGCCGTGGTTCAGTCTGGCAGTCCGACTCCAGGGTAACGCACAGCCGTGGTTCAGTCTGGCAGTCCGACTCCAGGGTAACGCACAGCCGTGGTTCAGTCTGGCAGTCCGACTCCAGGGTAACGCACAGCCGTGGTTCAGTCTGGCAGTCCGACTCCAGGGTAACGCACAGCCGTGGTTCAGTCTGGCAGTCCGACTCCAGGGTAACGCACAGCCGTGGTTCAGTCTGGCAGTCCGACTCCAGGGTAACGCACAGCCGTGGTTCAGTCTGGCAGTCTGACTCCAGGGTAACGCACAGCCGTGGTTCAGTCTGGCAGTCTGGCACCAGAGCCCCCGCTTTACCCCTGAGTCTCAGACTGTCCTGGCTGTGACTCTGGACTGCTGATTGACACTTCAAGGCAGCTGATTAGTCATTCCTGGCCTGGGGACTCCGGGGAGGAAAGGCAGTGCCCCAAGAGATGAACTCACAAGTCCAAGGACATGTCTACGTCGTACGCTGCTGTCCTGGTCTCGTATGATTAGACCCCTGAGCCATGTCATTTGTCTTAGAATGTCCACACTTGCTCCCTTCTGGGAGTTGTTGTAAGAAGAAAAACCCTGTCACCCAGAGCTCTTTACCCAGTGGGGTCATCCTCCTTCTGTCTTTGGCGTCAGTGTGGATAATGGCCACTGGTGACCCTCTTGGTCAGCTTCTCTGGGTGGCCAGGCCCTGGGTGCAGCCCTGTACCTGCTGCATAGCCCATGTATGTCTTGTCTAGAGTGGCTGTGTCGTCCCTGTCTATGAGCTTCTACCAACCGAGCCCACACCCTCCACCCTCGGGCTCACTGGGAGGAGCACAGGTCCCTCTCCTAGGCTCCTAGGAAGCTGATCATCCAGTCCTATTCTGACCCAAAGCTGATGGCTGTTTACCATTGGGAAAAGAACAGCAGAGGTGATACTGAAGCATTCTCTGGGACCCTCCAACAAAGTATCCCTGGCTTGGAGCATCCTGTCAGTGTGTGCGAGGCAGCCGAGGTGGCCACTTGGCACTCTCAGGTCACTAACCTGCCTTTTCCTGTGTCCGTCCTGCTTCCAGTCCCGTATGTGCAGCTCAGTCACCTGAGCACCGAGTCAGGTACCTTCCTCTGTGCTGGCCCCGCCCTGCCTCCCAGCCATGCTCTCCTGGCTGCACTGGCTGCCTGCAGCATGCCCGGGTTTTCCTGTGCAGTGAGAGCCCGATAGAACGTGGCTCATTGTGCCCCAAGAGGTCCAGCCAAAGGTCCCCCAGGAGGAAGAAAGGGCCCGGTTGTTACGGCCAAGCCGCCTCTTGTCATCCTGAATCCAGGATCGCAGCAGCAGCTGACTCAAGTCACAGGGCCCCTCTTTCTCCACCACCTGTGTCCTTGGGTTAAGCCCCAGACCCAGGTCCATAGACAGCCTGTACAGAGGAGGGTGGGAGCCGGTGCCCAGAGAGCTCCGTACCTGGTGGCATCTTTTGACTCTAGGGTTGAGATGACAGTGGGGAGTGGCTGGGGCCTTGGGAGGATGGGCAGGGAGGTGATGCTGGGTGAAGTCCCTGTCCAGGCCCAGCAGGCAGGACCCGAGGATCAAGGCAGGGGCAGAACAGGAGACCGATGCCAGAGCTTTTCCCGCCTCCCCTCCACCACACCGTCCTTCACGTCTGCCCCAGGTGAAGGGGCGCCTGTGGACACGGGTGGTAGTCTCGTTGTATCGGGCTTGCACTGTGTCTGTGAAACACCCTCCTACTTACGTGGTTCATCTTTTCCTTTGACTTAGTCTTGCATGCATTGCCACTTGGTCACCTGTTTGGTTCCCAAAGCCTCCTTCCTAATCACTGTGTGAGTGGCGTGGGCGTAGCTGAGAGGCCTCCTGTGCACCAAAATCAGCTGAAATGCAGCCAGATCCGAGGAAGTAGAGCAGCCTCGCGAACAGCCACTCACCTAGAGCAGATACACGAAGTGGGTGTGGCTGTGTCTTGTCCCGGGTGTTGTCTTCAGTGGGCTGGGAGAGTGAAACAGGTAGCCTTTGAAACGTGTGATTGGTTGAGCTCAGCCAGGGCGCCCTCTTCCAGTCCTGTTGGTTCTGTGTTCCAGTTCCGTCTGCCAGCATGACCCGGCTCGCCCGATCGCGCACCCACTCCACCTCGAGTAGCATCGGCTCTGGAGAAAGCCCCTTCAGCCGCTCCATCACCAGCAATCAGTCAGATGGAACCCAGGAGTCCTGTGAGTCCCCCGATGTCCTGGACAGACACCAGACCATGGAGGTGTCGTGCTGAGCAGACACTCCTCCACTGGACCCCGCACGGCCACCCTCTTCAGATGCCCACTCCGTAGTACATTTCGCCCCACGAGCTGGCCTCTGCTCTCTGACCCATGCATGGCCACTGAACCTCTCTAGTAGCCAGGTGTGTCATTCCTCCCGCCCAGCGCCTCCCTCTTTTGTAATGTACCAAGGACCACGCCCATGCCGTCGCTGTACCATTCCGACATCTTTAGCCGATCCAAGCGCCACATCTTCTCTTGCCAGCTTTTCCCTGTGCTCCCTCAACTATGTAAGCGATAAGATTCTCTAATCCCACTCGTGTGTGTGCGAGCACGCGTGTCTGTGTGTGCATAGTTCTGTGATTTTAGACATGCTTTCTCGTAGCGCTTCTGCAGAACACAGAAAAGGGACTTCTTTTGCATTCTCAGTGTTGTTTTTCAGGGAAGTGTGTGAAACGTTGCTAGGTGAGTAGGCCTAGAATTCGCAACTCGGTTTCGGGAGAGAGCAGTTCAGAGGACGCGGGAGATCCAGATCACTGGGACCAGTAGTGGGAGAGTGCCTGTCCCGTGGGGAGGCAGGCAGGTGGCCATCCCCTCCTCTGTCTAACTGGATGCACGTGTGCTGTTCTCTACACAAAAGGGAGGGGTGCATCCCACTAGAAAGCCATGGACGCTGAGGTCCTGATACGACAAGGAGTAGGGAGTGTGGCTTACTGACGGCCTCTCAGCACAGGAAAGCCAGGAGCAGGATGTTAGGCCTGCTCTCCGCAAGTGCTCACCAGACAGCCACACGTCCACAGAGCACCTGCCAGGCTGTGGTGGACACTGGCTCTCCATCCCTCCGCCCCAAAGCAGGGAGAGGTGTGGCCTAAAACTCGAGTAGATGGGGAGGCGAAGGTGAGGAGAGACCAGCCACAAGCGCGGTCACGCGTGATATGCCGCAGACGTCATGGAACCCACCTCAGAGAGATCCTGAATCCTGTGAGCTCCCTGTTCTAGGAGGGAAGGGGCCCGTCCGGAGGGGCTGCCCCGTCCGCTGTTACGGGAGGGGCCAAAGCCAGCCAGAGAGGACTGCTGGGACGAGGGGAAAGATCCGCGAGAGCAGCTGCCGGGAGCGTCCGCTGTCCGCTCGGGCCACACGGACCTGGACCTCGGGAAGGGGCTTCTCAGACGCACTGTCTGCTTTCTGCCGAGATAGGAATGCGTCGCTCTGCCAGAGTGCAACTTTTTACTGATTGTTAAATAAAGCTGTACACGTCTCCTTGTTACCTGACTGCTGGTGTTCATCTGTCAGCCGCTCGGGGCTCAGGGAGGGGCTGAGCTCCTGTGCACTGGTTCTCTGCTGGGCTCTTCCCCGTCTGTGCTCACCTGTCCCACCCCGTCACACTGTCCACTTCCAGGCAAGAGGTGGAGCCGCCGGAAGAGTAATTTGCCCAACTGCATACAGCCAGTTCCCGGTCGGGACCGAGTCCCTGCTCCGCCTCACATCCTGTCGCATGCCCCTCGGTGGAAAATCAGAGCCCAGCAGTGCTCTTGATGGCCTTGGGAAGGTGCCCCCACCTCGGTTCCGCCGTCTGACCACCGGCCTCACTCGGTGACAGTCTGCAGCTGCCTGTCAGTCAGACCAGGCCCCAGTCTGCAGTGTGGTTGTTCGCCCCCGTCAAGAAGAACCGCAGGAGACCGGGGGCTGCCGCCGCTGGAAGCACAGGCAGGCTGCTGGGCGAGGGATGGGCCGGATGCCACGGCCAGGGCCACGTGGGGAGAGGAGTCACGTGCCCGTGAGCAGCTAGGTGGCCACGCTGGGCCCCACAGCCTGGAGGCAGGAGTTGACGGGGTGGCCCTGTCACTCATACACGCGCGTTCCTGCAGCCCTTCCAGCCACACTCAGCATGGTGGTCCCTGCTCTCCCTCCTTAGCCTGTGCCTGGAGCCCGGCCCCAGGACGCTACCCGACTGGTCCTGCCTCCCTCCCTCCTTCCTCCTCTGCTCACACTTCCTGTCTTCCTCGTAAGCTGCCGCCTGTAACTCCAGCATCTCGTGGGCGCCAGTTTGAGTTCCCGCTGTTCCACCTCTGCTCCAGCTCCCTGGGGAACTTCCGGTGGTTTTTTTTGTTGTTGTTGTTTTTTGTTTGTTTGTTTGTTTGTTTTTTGTTTTTTCCTTCCCAGGCACATTTGCAGGGAATTGGGTCAGAAGTGGAGCAGCCAGGACTGAAACTGGCTTAGGCCACAGTGCTGCTACACCAGTCCCAGTTCCAAGCCTCTGGCCGTTGCTTGATCTTTCTGTGAGCAGCTCCCAGCTGGGAACCCACCATGAGCTGCCTGATTAGGACAAAAGCTGCTCCCATCAGCCAGGAATTCCTAAGGATGTAGAAGCTGTGGGTCAAGAATTGGGGTCAAAAACAAAATATTACAGCAAAAGACACCGGCTACAGCCCTGCTGGCTATGGAGCTATAAGGGTTTTGGGAGCTCGATGGGCACCAAGGAGGAAGACCTGTTCATTTCTTGTAGCTCTGAGGCTGATCTAGAATGTGAACTTAAATTCCTAGGTGCTCCCCTAAGTGGAAGAGGAGAGCTGTGTGGGGGAACTCTTGTGAGAAGCAATCAGAGCTGCTCCGTCCTCTTCCTGCCTTGTTCCCCTCGGGGCTCAGTCTGCCTGTCAGGTAAAATGGGTGTGATGGGCGGAGGTCCCCTGTTCAGTTCCCCCCCACAACCTGGGTGGACTTCCTTACAGAGGGTGTGCCTCCCTGCCAAGTGCCTGCACAGTTACCTGGCAAACCAGGCTTCCCCAGGAGCAAGGGAGAGACGGGCAGGAGCGTGTGTAGCTGGCAAAGGGCTGAGCTGGGTCAGGAGCCATTACAGCGCAGCAGGCCATTGTGTGCTGTAGAACCGGGCTCTGCAGGAATGCGGCTGCCTGGCCCGCCGCAGGCAGCAGGTGGGCGTGGCTGAACTTTAATGAGCTGCCAGTGGAAGGCGGCAGGAGGCTGGAAGGCCAGTCTGCCCATTGATTCTGCTTCCTGGGTCAGTGATTGGCCAGCTTGGGCAGGCGTTAGAATCACCTGCAGTGCTTGTGAAACCAGAGCCGACCCCACTCCCGAGGCTGAGTGGCAGACCTGAGATGGATGAGGCCTCGGAAGGGCGTCACAAAGTCCCAGACGCTGCTGTGGCTGCTGGTGGGGCTCATGGACTGATGTCCGATCCTGCGGTACAGAGCGTGGCCCCCGCCTGGGAGCCTGCTATACGTGAGGACTCCTTGGGGCAGGTGCTGGATGCAGTGGTTAGGTAGGACTACTGACATCCTGCAGCAGAGTGCCTGATTCTGGCTTCCTGCTAGCGTGCCCACTGGGAGGCAGCAGAGATGGCTCAAGTGCTGGAGTCCATCCCTGCCACTCACGTGGGAGACCCAGATGGAGTTCTAGGCTCCTGGCTTTGGCCTGGCCTGGCTCCCAGCTGTTGCAGGCATTTGGGCAGTGAACCAGCAGATGGAAGATCTCTCTCTGCCTCCCAAAGTTTAAAAAAAAAAATTAAAAGCATAAACTTAAACCCCACCCCGGCCTGCTGCATCAAGCCTGCAGTTTAACAAGATCCGGGTGATTGCTGAAAAGTTGGGGAGGCAATGAGATAAAGTACTCCTAGGCTCCTGGTGCAGCGATTTGGATTCAGAAGACGTGGGAGGACCCCAGAAGTTACTAGAATCAAGCTGCCCCCTCCCCCTCCCTGTGATCGTTCATGGTCAGGCCAACATGAGAAAGTCCTGCTCGCTTACCTCGGTTCTGGGCTCCTGAGACAAGACCAAGTCACAAAACCAGAGAAAAAAACACTCCAACTCCAGGATCGTGACGAGGCAGCTGCTCCCCAGAAACAGGAACTCGGGGAAGGTGGCCTCGATGGTGTGCGATGCCGTCAGAGGAAATGAGTGGTTGTGAGCTACAGAGGGTGCAGACAGATGGGAGCCGGGCCTCCAGTCCTGCGCCGGGCTCCGTGACAGAGCCCTGAGTCCCCTCTCCTGGCCCAGCTGTGCCCGGGAAGGCTGCCCGGCTGAATCCCGAAGCAGCACAGGGCTCCTGCCTGTCCCCGGTGGGCCACCTGCTGACCACAGGCAGATGCTGAGCTGCCCATTCCCTGAAGATCTTCCCAGGCCCCGAGGGTGCGCGGTGTCCTAGGACCCAGGACGTGGGCAGCCTTCCTGAGGACCTTCCTGAGCCCAGATCTGTCCAGCCGAAGCATACGTCTCTGCTGAGCCCCTCGGAGCCTCTGATGACGAGAGAGCGGTAAGTACGCGGGCAGGTGAGGAAGAGGGGGAGTGGGCTCTTCTCGCAGCTGGGAGACAAGCTCACGGAGAAGGGACAGGAGCTCTGCTGAGGCTGTTAAAGATGACTCGGAAGGAACTTGGGTCTCCTGCCTGCTCCTTCTAGCCCCGTCTTGGTTCCTGCGATGTGCTGTGTGACCCTAGGCCCCTCTCTGGGCCACAGTGAGCACGAGGGCTCTGGATCCCTGGACCTCGTCCAGCTGCAGAGTCCACAGTTCTCCCAGAAGGGCGAGATCTTCCTTCAGCTCAGCCCAGATCACAAAAGCAATGCGAAAGCCGGGGCCCCTGGTCCCAGCACTGCCCTCAGCACTCGCAGCGTGTGAGCACCGGGGCCTCCGCCCTGGGGTCTGAAACGGGGCCGGGGTGCAGGTCTCGGTGGCCTCTCGCTCGTTCTCTCCTTCCACCCACGGCCCGGGTCCCCTGGAAAGGGCCTAGCACATGGTAGGCCTGCCCAGATGCTCGTGTGCCTAGAGATGAGCCAGTACCTCCAGCAGGCCTGCCCACAGCAGTGCCTGCTCCTGGCCCCGGGAGCTCCCTGGCTGTGAGTGGAGCAGGGGCAGGGGAGGGGAGCGGCAGGACCCAGGGCGGCTTCGGGTGGCCCTGGGCCCATCCCCCTCTGCCTGCAGCGGGAAGTCTCTGGTTGGTTGCATTGAGGGCTGTGGTCTTGCTGGAGGAGGGAAAGGAAGCTGAGCCTTACACCCTCTGAGCCGAGCCCCTCTCGTCACCCCGGCACCCTTCGCGTGGGTACGGCCATCCCTGAGCCGCAGCTGCGAGGCGCACAGCTGAGCCTGGTGAGTCTGACCCACACAGGTGGTCCCTCCCTGTGGCCTCCGGCTCTAGTCTGCACCAAAGCCGTGCCCCCCTTCTTAAAAGATTTATTTTATGTATTTTGAAAGGCTGAGTTGCAGAGAGAGAGAGGGAGAGACAGAGAGATCTTTCATTCTCTGGTTCACTGCCCAAAATGGTCACAGGGCTGGACCAGGCCAAAGCCAGGAGCCTGGAACTCCATTCAGGTCTCCCACATGGGGTGGCCGGGGCCCAAGCAGTTGGGCATCTTCTGCTGCTTTCCCAGGTGCATTAGCAGGGAGATGGGTGGAAAGAGGAGCAGCTGGGACTCAAACCAATGCCCACATGGGATGCCAGCATTGCAGGTGGTGGCTTAACCCACTCTACCTCAATGCTGGCCCCTAAGACAGGACCTACACAGACAGTTCTGTCCCGGAGACCATGGAAGGCACTCTGTGATAACAACACCAGAGCTCTCGTCCCAGCAGTGTGGGGTCAAAGGCAGGGGAGGGGCCCACTGTGTTGCCAGCTCCTTTGGTGAGCTGCTCCCTCCTGGGCTCCAGCATTGGCTGGTACCTGGCCCAGAGCAGCACCTCGGAGAACACTGGGTGAATCGAACCAAACTGGGATAATTAAGAAATGCAGAACATTTGGTTGGAGCCGTGGCGTAGCAGGTAAAGCTGCCTCCTGCAGCACCGGCATCCCATATGGGTGCTGATTCCAGTCCTGGCTGCTCCACTTCCAATCCAGCTCCCTGCTAATGAGCCTGGGAAATCAGCAGAAGATGCCCCAGTGCCTGGGCCCCTGTACCTGCATGGGAAGACCCGGAGGCTCCTGGCCCTGGCTTCAGCCTGGCACAGCTCTGGCCGTTGTGCCCATTTCAGGGGTGAAACAGCAGATGGAAGATCTTGCTCTCGCTCTCGCTGTTGCTCTTCCTTTAAAAAATATACAAATAAAAAATGGGGCTGATGCTGTGGCGTAGTGGGCTAAGCCTCCGCCCTTGGCTCTAGCATCCCATATGGGCGCCAGTTCTAGTCCCAGCTGCTCCACTTCTGATCCCACTCTCTGCTATGGCCAGGGAAAGCAGTAGAAGATGGCCCAAGTCTTTGGGCCCCTGCACCCGTGTGGGAGACCCAGAGGAAGCTCCTGGCTCCTGGCTTTGGATTGGTCCAGCGCCAGCCGATGTGGCCATTTGGGGAGTGATCCAGCAGATGGAAGACCTTTCTGTCTGTCTCTCCTTCTCTCTGTTACTCTACCTCTCAAATGACATCTTTTTAAAAAATAAATAAAATAAACACAGAATGCACCCTTCCCTCTTCCCACACTAGTGTTTAGAAAAGTCGGTACCACCCTAGAAACCTGGGGATTTGAACTGATCTAACATACTTGTCCCAGAGCTAATCATGGCTTCTGCCCACCGGGTTAGTGGTGTTCAGTGCCTCTGTGTGCCTCGCCAGGGCCTGAGGAAATGGGAAAGCAGCTGCTCTCCTCCTCCTGGCACTGCAGGATAGTAAGGGGTTAAACTAAGAAGCAAGGGCCAGCACTGGGCGCAGTGGTTAAGTCTACGCCCCATGGCGAAGTGCAGAGGTTCAAGCCCCAGCTCCACCTCCGAGTCCAGCTTCCCACTCGTGCACCCGGGGAGGCTTGGGCCCCTCCGGCCACACGGGAGACCCAGGCTGAGTTCCCGGCTCCTGGCTTTGGCCCGGCCCAACCTAGACATTGCAGACATCTGAGGAGTGAACCAGCAAGTGGAAAATCTGTCTCTCTCCTTACAAATAAACCTAATTGTTACAAATTTGTAAACAAATAAGCACACTAATCAATGAATAATTAAAACTTGCAGAGGAACACAGAGGGAACCGAGAGGGAAGGGAGCCCCCCGAGAGGCCTCTGGTGGAGTGAGACAGGAAGTGCTGGCCCGCGGCCTGCCGGCTCTCTTAGCTCTTGGGCCGGATGTTGGGTGCTGTTATCCCCATTTTTCAGACGAGGGAAAGGAGGCACGGAGAAGGGAAGAGTCATGACAGCCAGGCCCCCTGAGCCTGGCCGGTCGGCACTGACCTACAACCTCCCAGCCACCGTACCGTGCCCTGTGACGGCTCAGGGTCACCTTTGCTTGTGACACCAGCTCCCGAGACCCCTCAGGACCCCCTTGCCCACCTCTGTCCCTAGCCTAGGGTCCTGGTGTGCTGGGGGGAGAGTGAGCTCACTGTCCTGCTTCTGCCCCCTGCCACCCAGGGGCAGAGCCCGGGCCCAGGCCAGGGAAAAGGTTCCAAGTGAGCCACAGGAATTCAAGGGAGCCGCCAGCAAAGCGGGGGGCTTAGGGGAAGCTTCCTGAGGAGGGGTGGGCTCCAGACCGGCCTGAGGGGGAGGAAAGGGCACGCGCTCCGGGGATACAAGCGAAGAATGGAGCCGGCGCAGAGAAGCTCATCCGTGGGGCAGGAGGCCCCAGGACCTGGTGGAGCAGCTGGTGCGTGGGCCTCAGGGCGGGCGTCACCCCCTCCGCCAGGCAGGGCAGCTGCGCCGAGCCGGGCGGCGGGCATCCCCATCGCAGCGTCTCTTTCAGGTTCCTCCCGGAGACGTGCCTCTGAGCGCCCTGCTGCGGAATGATGGGGAGTCTGCCCAGCAGAGGGAAAACCCTGCCAAGTCCAAGCTCAGACCCCTCTGCCCAAGGCCGAGACCCTGTGGCCCTGCAAGCAGGTAGGCCGCGGGGCTGGGGCAGCCAGGCCCTTCCTGGGCCCCGCAAGGCTGCACGGTCCCACGCTTTACTGTGAGCCTTCCTGACCACTCACCGAGCGCCTGCTGTATACCAGCCCCTTCCCACCCTGCTCTGTGGGGCCTGTGGCAGCAGGGAGACATTTAACAAGCAGGACAATGAGGAAGTGGGAGAGAGAGGCGCAGGCACTGACTGGAGCAGTTACCCAGGAGGGCCTGCTGCTCCCTCCTCAGCTCATAGGCTGAGCCTGCCAGCCGCAGTAGCCATGAGCCACGTGCGGCGGCGCGGTGCTGTGACACAGTGGGCTGAAGTGCTGCTTGTGATGCGGGCACCCCGAGTGGGCGCCGGTTCAAGTCCCAGCTTCTCCGCTTCCAATCCAGCTCCCTGCTAACGCGCCTGGGAAGGCAGCTGAAGATGGCCCAAGTACTTGGGTGCCCGCCACCCATGTGGGAGACCTGGATAGAGTTCTGGACTCCTGGCTTCAGCTTGGTCCAGCACTGGCTGTTGTGGCCATTTGAGGAGTGAACCAGAGGATGGAAAATCTCTCCCTCTTCCTCTCTGTGTTGCTCTTTCAAATGAGTAAATTTTTCTGAAATAAATTTAAATTAGAAAAAAAAAAAACTATCTCAGCCCGGTTAGCCATGGTTTGAGTGCTCAATGGCTGCACATAGCTCATGGCTACCTCACTGGACAGCACCGAATTCTAGAACATTTCCGTCACCTAGAAAGTTCTGCTGGACCTAAGGTGCTGTGAACAGTGGGCGGTGCATTGGCTGAGCTGACAATCATGATTTTCTTCGTCCTGGCTTAAAAATAATAATAATAGACAAATAAATGAGGACAAGTGAACAATCAATATATCTTAGAAGTTCTAACATCTTGATGAAGAATCTATGGCCCTAGGTCTCTTTCTTGTTCCTCAAAACAGCACACAAATCTTTTCTCAAATCTCATCAGCTCAGGTCTTGGGGTTTTCCAGAGACACAGAATCGAGGGGCCAGGAGTGTGGCCAGAGGGAGGGGTCCTGCCCAGGAACTGGTGCCCGTGGAGCCGGCTGCGAGCCCAGTCTCTTTGCTCCCAGGATCTCAGTCTCCCCTTATTTGGGCCTGCAGCTGATCGGGGAGGGGCCTGTGTCTCCAGCCTCCTGCTGTAACACAGCTGGACTGGTGGCCGGCTATCTGGGTACTGTGGCCTTACCACAGGGACCCATAAGATGAACTGATAACCAGGTCCCTCGGCTCCAAGCTGCACTGCAGGAGGCAGGACCGAGCCGCCTGGACATCCCTGTCTGGGGGGGGCTGCTCCACCTGAACATTCCTCCCCCACCCACCCCGCGGCCGCCCCTCCTGCCATGGCTTCCTGCCCTCTCCTCAGGGCAGGACCCCCCCATCCTCCTCCCCCCAGTACCTGCCTCCCTGGGCCCCGCTGGGGACTGTGGCTGGGAGGCAGCTGCAGCAAGGGGCCTGCAGGAAGGGCCCTGGAAACCACAGCCCCCCCACCCAGTTTCCTCTGGCAGCCGTACTGTACCCCTCCCTCCCTCCCTCCGGGTCTCCAGGGCAGGTCTGTCCCCGTGGGAGAGGGAGTCTTGGGCATCCTCTCCCGGGGCCGTTTGTCCATCAGCCTTGCACCCCTCTGAGATCTGCTGAGGCTCTACCACATGCCAGGCCATTGGGTGGGACGTGGGGACGCGGCGGTGGGCAAGATAGGCACAGCACCCGCCCTCAGAGAGAGCCGCCGAGACAGGCGTTCAAGCGCTGATGAAGGACAGCTGTGTTAGAGCTGCATGACTGTGTGAGGAGGGACTTGGAGGACTTCCCCATGGAAGCGGCGCTCCAGGCCAGGCCAGGGAGCAGCCAATGGCATTTGCCCTCTTGGGGTGCAGGTGCAGGGCCAGGGCTGCGGGGAGGGGAGGGTGCTTGCAGCCCGCTCTGCTCCACATTATCCGAGAATCGGTTACTGCGTCTCTGGCCTCCCCCCGCACCGTGGGCTGTCCTGGCTCGGAAGAGGCTCCTGGGCTCCCAGGAGCTCCAGCCTGCGTTCCCCGGGGGGATCTCCACGAGGGTCTGGGAGGAGGTATAGGAAGCGGTGTGCTTCCAGAGCGGGGCTCGCTCCTTCCGGAGAGGCCCTTCAGCCGCAACCTGGGTCTGTGTCTGGCTGCTCCCCTCCCCCACCTCGTGGAGCCCCAGAGTCGCTGGTACCCGATTGCTTTCTTGCTGCCCTTGACCCCTGCTCAGAGCTTCCTGCATTCACCTGCTAACAAGCCTGTTTTTCAAAGACCCGTGCAGAGTGGGTAAGGACGGGAAAGTGGCGTGCACCAGGGCCCCACAGGCAGAGGATGCTGGGGGCCGAGTCCCGAGGTGGGCTGGGGATGCGAGGCCTGTGCTGATCCAGCCCCATGCACCCGACGCCCCGCCTCGCAGCCCCCACATGCTCAGGACACTTCTCTGCGTAGCGGGGGGCTTCGTCTCCCTCGGATTCTGCGACCCCAGCCAGACGTCTCTACCTCCCCCTCTGAACCTCGGCCTGCTGGGGACCAAGGAGTCTGTGTTCTTGCTGACAAGCATGCTGCTGTCCAGCCCCAGTGCCCCTGCCCAGGCCCGAGACGGGGTGCGGGGTAAGCACTCGCTGCCCTGCTGAGTGCCCCCGTGGAAGCCGCAGGGCCGCCTAGACGCCCCATCTCACTGTAGACGTGAGGCCCAGTCAGCTGCTGCCCAGAGCTCGCCTGCAGGGCTGACACAGCAGGTGCTCTGCGAGTGGTGGCAGGGAGGACGGGGACACTTGGCTGGGCCACCCATACCTGCGGGCCCCTGCACTGGGCCAGGTCTTAACCATGGGCCTACGGGTGGCCCCTCTTCTCCACCTGCTGCCATGGACAAAGGCCATGGGAAAGGCACAGCACTCTGGAGTTATAAAGCTGTGCCGTAGGGGTCCCCTCCAGGAAGCAGAGAGGCAGGGGTGCAGTTCCCACTGGGCACGACAAGGAAGTGAGGGGAGAGGTGGGAGGGAGGCCTCGTGCTCCTTCTGTGCTCATGGCAGCACCCCCAGGTGACTGGGGGCCCTGGCCCCAGCTGCTGGTCTTTCCCGAGTTCCCCAGCCCTCAGAGCCGACCTCAGCACCCAGCCCATCAGCACCCTGCAGAAGCTCAGCTCCACGCTGATGCTTAGAGCTGTAGGTTCTGAGATTTATTTTTTAATTTTTAAAAATATTTATTTTTAAAATTTCATTTCTTTTAGAGGCAGGGAGAGACCTTGCATCCTTTGGAAGCCAGCACAAGCAGGGCTGGCCCAGGGTAAAGCCAGGGGAACGCAGTGTGGGTCTCCCGCCTGCCGCTTTCCAGGGTGTGCATTAGCAGGAAGCTGGAGTCAGAGCAGAGTCGGGACTGGAACGCAGGCAGGACAGGATGAGGGCGGCCTGAGTGGCAACGCCTGCCCCTTGGCTTTGTTTTTGGAGCAGCAAAAACCCTTTATCAAAAATTCTGCAAGGGGCTGTTGCCAAGGATCCTTTGCCTGTTGCCATGTGAACTTGAGGCCTCTGTGGGGATCTCAAGACCTGGCTGAGCAACCCCGGGGCCTGCAGAACCCTGGGAGAGCTTCAGATTTCAGGGAAGGCGGGCGATGGGAAGGGATGCAGGCTGGAGCCCTCACGTCTGGAGGGCAGGCCGGCCCAGTCCTAAATTAGATTCTAGAGAAGCCCACAGATTTGGACTCAATGCCAAGCTCACCAGACAAAACCAATATACAGTTCAGCCACAGCAAGCGAGCTTTGAGAAAAGGCTGGGACCAGTTAACCGATTAAAACAATCAGTTAGTTAAGCTGTAACCAGCTGACTGGTTGATTGACTAGACGGTAGCCAGTTCAACTTTATGCGCACGTCTGTTTTCCTATAACACCCTCAGTGAGGCTGGCTGCGTCCCTCGGGGCCTGCTCTTGTCCTGGGAGCTGCCCTGGTCACGGCGTGTGTTACTGTGCTTTGCTTCGCGTACATTCGCGTAGGTACGTTCTGAATTCAGTGGGCCTAAGGAACTGTCCTCCTAACGAGGGTAACTCTCTGTCCCCTCCGTCTAGGGAAGAGCAAGGCCGCAGCCGTGGCCCTGGGCAGCTTCCCGGCAGGCAGGCAGGCCGAGCTGTCGCTGCGACTGGGGGAGCCGCTGACCATCGTCTCCGAGTAAGTCCGTGCCCCTGGCTGCCCGCAGCTGCGCTCCTGCTCCAATCAGAAAAGGGCGAGGCAGGCAGGGCGCTCACCCTCGACACACCCCGGGGAGAAGCAGGCGGGTGGGGGTGCCTTGCTTGGGTCACGCCCACCTGTCACATCCCGGACCCTGGGATGTGCGAGGGAGCCTGGGAAACCGCGGGCCGGTGGCTGCAGGATCCAGCCCATGACGGTCCGTGCCCAGGTCCCGGGGCCCTCTGCTTTCTCTGTGCAGGGACGGAGACTGGTGGACAGTGCTGTCAGAAGCCTCGGGCCGGGAGTACTGCATCCCCAGCGTCCACGCGGCCAGAGTCTCCCACGGGTGAGTGCCCAGCCCAGCCCGGCCTCCAGGGAGCACCCTCACTCTGTTCCCAGGCGCAGCAGCCGAAAACCTGTTCCTGCTGGGTCAGCGGGAGGGGTCAGGGAAGGTCCCTGTTGGAGAACACTGGGAGGGATGTGTGGGGGCCGGGGCAGCCTGTGAACACGGCCCGAGGCCAGGAAACGGGGGGGGGGGGATTCTTGGAAAGGCGAAGGCTTGGGAACCAGGCTGCAGGGGAACGGAGTCGTGATGGGAGAGGCTGGGTCCCTCCCCTGGCACCCCCAGGCCCCTCAGGAGTGGGTTCTGCAGGCAGAGAATGCTGAAGCTGCGCCCTTGGGCTCCAGACCCGGAAGACAAGGCTGGAGGAGCCCTCAGGCCCCAAGCCCAGCTCTCCGTGCTGCAGAGAGACCTTGGGGCCCAGAGAGGAAGGGAAGGGAGGGGGGCCTTTGCAGGGTCACACAGGGGCAGAGGGTCCCAGAGGTGCTGACCCCTGCCCCTTCCCCCCAGCTGGCTGTATGAGGGCCTGAGCCGGGAGCAGGCTGAGGAGCTGCTGCTGCTGCCTGGGAACGCTGGCGGGGCCTTCCTCATCCGGGAGAGCCAGACCAGGAGAGGTGGGTGAGCGCGGCCGGGCGGAGGGCTTCCCGTGTCGGCGCTCGGCCCAGCCTGTGCTGGAGGGGATGGGGACTGCGTGGAGGAGTGGCTGCGAGGTGGTCGGGAGGTGTCTGCATGGGGGCCCAGGCAGTGAGGCTGAGCAGTGTGGACCAGCAGGGGCCGGAGCAGCCCGAGAGGCAGAGCCTGGGACTGGGAAGCTGGCGCTGGCCCCCTGCAGAGGCGCGGTTGTGCCGGGTGTTCGGGGGAGCGAGGCACTGCGGTCCGGTGACTCCACGTGTGCTCTGTGGGGAGAGTCCTGTGCCGGCGTGGGACCTGTCAGAGCCGAGTCCCGGGGAGCGCGGAGACTTCCCCACGCAGCCCGGGGTGAGCTTCACTCCACGTGCGTTCAGCAGGGGCTGCTCAACCCCTACACTGCGGGGAGGGAACTAGACAGCGGCCCGGGCATCTATGGGGTGGGGGTGGACACGATCCTTGCTCTCGGAGCTCCCTGGTCACTGTGGCTGGAGTTCCATGACACACACTTTGGGAAACAGTGTTTGAGATTTGCACTGATGCCGGGGCTTGTCCTTCTGCTGGGGTGGGGGTGGGGGGTGCAGGACCAGAGAACCTGGCCTTGGAGCTGGTGCGGACCCCCTCGCTGCTGCTGCAAGGGCTCACCCTCAAAGTGGGTGTGAGCGGCCCACAGCAGGGTCCCGGCTCGGCCTGCACCTTGGCAGCTGGGACTTGTCACCATGCAGTCCCAGGCCCCCGCCCCGGCCTCCGACACAGCACGTGAGCATGCTGATGGGGTCTTTGTATCCTGGGTCCGCAGCTGGTTGGAGCTGGGAAACCATCAGAAGTCCTCGCCCTGCTCCTCACCTGTCCACCACATACACTGACTTGGAGACCCCCGAGGGGGAGGGGCACGGCACTCCTCCCACGCCTGGTGCAGGACCCCGGCCAATAAAAACTCCAAGTGGATCATCTCGGGTGGTCCTGACTCCATCTGAGCTGGGCCTGAGTTCCGTTAAGCAGGGGCGAAGGGGGATATGGGCGGATTTGAGCAGCCTCAGCGCTCCCCTTAAATGCTGTAATGACCCTCTGGGGATTATACTTTCAGTGCCCCTATTTTCCAGATGAGAACACTGAGGCTTAGTGAAGACAAAAAAAATCTGCCTGAAGAAACACAGCTAGTAAGTCCCAAGCCAGAATTCAAACCCAGCCAGGATTCCTCACAGACCAGATACCCGAGAGAGGCCCACCCGGGCAACCAGGGGGGAACTGCCAGGGCCAGGCCAGGGAAGGGGCGCCCGAGGGTGAGGACAGGCCTCCTGGCACCTGGCCTAACTTGAGCTTTGTCGAGCCATAGGGTCCTTGGATCTCTACCTCGGTTTCCCTCCTGGGGCACCTCCAACTTGTCTTTGCCTTTCCAACCTTGGCCTGGGGGGCACCCGGAGCTGACCTCTCCCCAGCCCCTCCTGCTCACTTCCAGGCACCCTCGTCCTCACAGCCTGGGCTTGCTGTGGCGGGGGAGCTGGCCCCAGTGCAGCGGCTGCAAACAGGAAGCCACAGCGGGGACAGGGCCCTGCAGGCCGCCCCGGTGAGCATGAGAAGCCGCCGGAAGTGCTCCGTGCTCGGCGCCCCACCCCCACCCCACCCCACCTGGCCTGGTTCAGCCCCAGGAGTGTAGTGACCTGGCCTTGTTGCTGCTCTGCCCCGTGTGCGAGGGAGGGAGAAGGCAGATCAGGGGAGCGAAGATCTCGCAGTTTCCATGATGACTGGCGGTGAGGTCTCCATGGCCAACAGCAGGCGATGCAGGTCCAAATGCAGGCCTTGTCATGGAAAGGGAAGACCCCGCCCGTTCCCTAGGAAAACGTGGGCTCCCCTGGGACTTTGTTGATTGGAAAGGCAGAGTGACAGAGGTCTTCACTCTCCTGGTTCACTCCCCAGAGGCCAGCAACAGCCAAGGCTGGGCCAGGCCAGAGCCAAGAGCCAGGAACTCGCTCAGGGTTTCCCCTGCGGACTGCGGGGACTCCAGAGCTCAGGTGGTCACCTGTTGTGTCCCAGGCACATTGGCAGGGAGCCGGCTTGGACGTGGAGACTTGAAGTAGCAGCTTTAACCTCACCACAACGCCCGCCCGCCCGGCACTTCGAGCCTCTCACTTGGGGTGATCTCTCACTGTCAATCGCAGGCCGTCTGGGCCAGTGGTTAGATGCCCGTGTGTCTCAACCTGGGCGCATGAGAATCAGCAGGGGGACCTGTTGACCGCTGGGCCCGCGCCCAGGCCGACCCGTAGGTCTGCTGCGGGGCCTGAGGAATTTTCTAAGAGTGCTCAGTGGTGGTGCTGCCGGGCTAGCCCTCGGCCTCAGGGGAGCTGTGTGGACTACACGACTGCATCTCGCCGCAGAGGCTCCGATCGAACTGGTGGGGGAGCCCGGGGCCCCCGGGTGTTGGTGACGTGCAGCCTGGGCCGAGCGGGAACCGGGGTGTGTGTGTGTGTGTGTGTGTGTGCACGCGTTTGTGCGTGCACGCGCAGGACGTGACCGAGGTTGCTTTGTGCCGTGTGGGTCAGCTATTTTGAAATGTGTGCGAATTTAGGCTGTGGTTTGTGGTCAGTAGTAGTTTGACCCCAAAGCTCTAGGGGCTCGAGGACATTGCAGGAGGGTGGTAGGGAACGCGTCCACAGCACAGGCATGGGGCCCCACCCCAGGCCTGTGGGATGCGGCTGCTGGGGGCAGGGCCGACCTGTCTTCTTCGGGCTGGCTGAACGGCCCCTCTGTTCTCTGGAGTTTGAAAACAGTTCCCCTGCGGGGAGCCGGGGTGGAGTAAGGACAGCTCCTGCCTCTGACTTGCGTTGTGGAGCACCCCCTGCTGCAGGGGTCAGAGAGTGACTTAGGGCCCTGGGGAAGGGGCTTCTACAAGGGTGTGGACCACAGAGGAATCCTACGTCCCTCAGTCTGGGGAGGGTGCCATCTCCCTGCAGTCCCCCCGCAGAAACCTGGCTGTGTCCTGGGCCTGGTGCTAGCCCGTGGCCTGGCTCAGCGAGGGCCTTGAAGCCTTAATCCATGAAGGGGCCCCCAAAGACTCGGTGGAGGTCACGGACTGCTTCAGGGGCCAGCGCCAGCGTTGGGTGCCGCACGCCCGGCTCACCTCCCCGCAGCGCTGATGCTCTGCTTCGGCACCGTAGGGGACCGATGAGCAGGGGCGGCTCCTGCTGCTCATGCCGGGGCCCTGCCCGTGCCGTCACCGGGACCCCTCACCGAGCAGCTCCTGGTCAGGTCCGCTAAGCTGTGGGTCCTGTCCTCCAGCCACAGACGGTGGCGGCTGCAGTGTCTGGCATCCCTGAGCTGTCGGCTCTTGGAGTACTCGGCAGAGAAGCCAGGCCTGCATCCCACGGTGGCTCCCAGCCCTCTCCCCTCCCTCCTATACCATCATCAGAACGCCCGGGAAGCTCGGTGCCCAATCCCAGAGGTCCAGGTGTGAGGCTGCCTGAGCCTGCCGGAGCTTTCTGGAATCCAGGAACTTGTACTTTGCCCTTTGTCCCAGGGCCCTGCAGTTACTCTTTGCTTGCGGTTCCCACGGCAATTTGAAAAGACCTCTGTGTAGCTACAGTCAATTTCTTTCTTTCCTTTTCTATTTATTTGAAAGGCAGAGCATTAGAGAAGGAGATAGGATTTCCATCCACTGGTCTCTCCCAGTGCGGTAACAGCCAGGGCTGGGCCAGGTTGAAGCTAGGAGCCTTCAACTCCAGCCAGGTCTCCTCCATGGGTAACAGCAGCCCAAGTCCTCCGGCCACCACCTACTGCCTTCCCAGGCACATTAGCAGGGAGCTGGATGGGAAGCAGAGTAGCCAGGACTCCAACTTGTGCTTTGATAACGGGATGTGGGTTGCAAGCAGTGACTTAGCCCACTGCGTTGCAATGCCAGCCCTATAAATTTATTTCTTAAAATCTGGATCCATGGTCTGATGAGAATTCCAGAACTAAACACTTGTAGCGAGGACCATTAAACCCCTGGCTGTGGGACGTGCTGGCAAGACAGGACTCATGTCCCTGGAGTCTTGCGTTCCTACGGTGGCTGGGCCCGGGGCCGTGTCTGGTACATAGGAAGTGCTTGGTGGCTGTTTACCCCATAGGTGACGGAGGGAGCACATGTCTGCGTGCAGAGGAAGAAGGGCCGGGGCAGCCCGTCCCCCAGGCAGGAGAGCTCAGGCCGGTTTTAGCATCAGGTGGCCAAGGACAGAACCAAAGTCACCTGGGCACCGTCCTCAGCACCCAGACATGGCATCTGTCGGCCAGGGCTCTTTCGCCCCTGTGGCGCTCAGCAGAGGCCGGGTTCCAGGGCCAGGCAGGGTCCAGTACCTGTCCAATATGTCTGCTCCAAATGATGCAACTGGATTTCCCGAATCGATCCCAGCACCGCCTGTGCTCGGACAGCAGTGGGAGGGCAGCAGTGTCTGTTACCAGGGCACTGATTGTAACCAGCGGCTCTAGCGTGGGTGCCGCCAGTGCCAACCGTGCCAGACACTGATGTGGACACTGGCGATTCGGCGGCACGGACAGCAAGGTCTGTGCCCACAATCTACTGGCAAGGTGGACAGCGAACAAGTTACAAAGTGTCTGGTGGTGGTATATGCCCTGAGGAGAACAGAGCAGGGTTCAGAGGACCGGCGCGCTGGGACTCATGGGAGCGCGTGTGCACAGGCCGCAGCCCGCGGCAGGACCAAGGAGTCAGGTCGAGCAGGGCCTTTCCAGGGCTGTGGGCTTCCGGGGAGAGGGTTCTGGGTGGCAGTGGCATGAACTTGACCCCTGCACCGCCGTGAGGGGAGCGTGCGCTGGTGGCCAGGCGGGAGTAGGAAGCCGTCGCAGGGCAGAAGTGGCCTGGTTCTGAGCAGAGACCACGGGGCTTTCTGTCGGCCGGGGGGACGGAGGGAACAGGAACGGCCAAGTCGAGTGTCTGGGCTTGGTGATGTGCTGGTGAGAGGCAGCACTGCTCGCTGAGATGGGAACATGGCGGCAG